AACCTAGAATTTTATGGCTACTAGTCCATTTTGACAAGTCTACAAAAAAAATGGTTGACAATTTCAAGGTTAAATATGAATTTTTTTATGACACAAAAAATGGGAAAAATAAAATTTTAAGCCCTAATAGTCATTTATAGTTCGTGGGTTGGACTGATATGGTGTATTCTGGGTGAGTTAAAATTTTGAAAAAGAAAGCTATGATAAATTAGTGTATGATGTAAATATGAAGTATCAAAATTTTATATCAAATATGAGCTACTTATTACAAAACAAAAGGCAATGATCCATTTGTATAGTCAACAAAGATAGAAGATTTCATCTAACTTCAATTATCATTTTTTTTTCCAGAATTCTCAAGTCATATAAGAAATACCTACAACTTCTTCTTCATCCTCTTCACATGAAAGTTGAATATCAAGGCAATTAGGGAATGTTTTATATGGTAAGAAAACACAACCAAATACTTAGATTCTTGGTCATGTAATGATATGTTTATGATGATAAGGGAGTGAAATAATTGACCACCAACAACATCATGATGAAATAAATTAAAAATTAATTTTCTCCGATATCCCAATTTTTGTGCTGAAGGTTCCAATTTTGACAATGTTTATAAAATTATAAAAATATGGTTGGGATTTAAAACTTCAAAATGACAGTGAAAACTAACGAATTTAAATCTACTAGTCATTCCTAATATTTAAAACTTCCAAATGACGGTGAAAACTAACGAATTCAAGTCTGCTAGTCATTCGTAATGTATGGATTGGACACATAAAGAACAGAATTCATGACTCATGAATAATAGATGGACAATGCAGGAAGAGATGGAATATTGAGAGTTACAGTTAAAATTTTGAAAAGAAAAGATATCATGAAAATATTTTAAATCTCACCCATATCACAGAACTAGTGTAGGAGAGGTAGTCATCAAATGAGAAAACTTTTTTTAAAAAAAGCTATCATGTTAATTTTGTGTATAATGTAAAAATGATGCTAAGGTCCGAGTAAATATGAAAATGTGACAGTACTGAGATTTAAAGCTATCATTATTATTTATTTTATTTTTTGAAATATGACCATTTTATAAAATCAGCACAACAATTTTGTTTTTTTCTGCAATCACTATTATTAGGCAGTTTTTTTTATATTCTTTTTGGATAAGTATTCTGTTATAGCTCATTGCTGAAATTTATTAAAACATAACATGTAAATTTGATTAGTTATGAAGTTTATCTAAACACACAACACATTTCATTTGATTTACGGTAAATTGGAAAAATGATACACACTCGACTCTTACAGACCATTTGTAGTGATATATATATATATATATTAATAATTAATGTTCCCTTTTTTATTGTGTACATAATAATTGATATAATATTCACTAGGTACATACAATTTTTTTATTGTATTTGATGCAGGGCAAAAATTCAATCAAGGAGTGTTTCTTGGGTGGAATCGAGGCATTGAGAAATATGTTGGGTTTCAGCTAAAAACGTTCATTTATGACTCCGAAATCGAATTTTCTTGTCTGTTAGGAGGCCTGTTGAATTTTTGTTCTAGGTTTAAACAAAGTTTGATTGTTTTCAAATTTTAGATTTAGTATTTTTTATTTATTAGGTTTCTTATTCTATTTTTTTGAAAAAATTAGAAATTTTATTTTTAGACACATTTTTAGATTATTTCATTTTTGCTATTAGGTTTATTTATGTTTTAAATTTCCTTCTAATATTAGGTTTTCTTTTATTATAAACACATGTGTTATCAAGTGCAGAAATAATTTTTATTCAATTCACTATCAAATTTCTCTGAATTTATTTCTTATTTTGTGGATTCAAGACACTCTACTTTGTGGATTCAAAGTAACCCGTTCCTTATGAATAAATTTATCACTCTCGTTTACATCAATTAATATCAAAGTCTTATTGTACCATGATCAGATAACGATTACTCGTTTTAAAAGCGCCCACTTTATCGACGGTGATTGCATAGTGAATGCCCTTGGGCAGGCATGCATGGCCAAGATAGGTACAATTTACACCTTACTCCATAAAGATTATTGTCACCTTTTGGCTTTGAGGGGTTCTCATCCACAAGGGAAATATTAACTACTCTAAACATAATTTATAAGTTGTGTTAGCGCCATTACTTGTTGACACTTAACAGAATACTTAATTACTTTCCAATGCATATTTTAAAATGCATTTCTCAGAATAGCTCCAAATATATTTCTGGTGATGTTTGGATCTATTTAGCTTATTTTCCACCTTCTATTTTCCTTTTTCTTTCTTTATTTTTTTTTGGTTTGTTGAATATTTATTATTTGAATGTTATGTAGGAGTGTGGTAAACTTGTTTTGTAATACCTGTATTCTCTTTTAAACACTCTTATTTGTGTTAGATATTGTGTTCGTTTAATTTGATAGAACGGTTCTGTTTTACTATTTTCTTTCTTGTTTATGAGGTGTTTTTTAGAACTTTAATTAAAATGATCGACTAACCAATGTGTTATTGATAAGCATGTGTTATGAATCAGACTTGGAGCCTGACAGCTTTTTGCTTGCGGTAATTAACAGCTCACTACTATTATTCATTTCCTAACATGATTTCGTATTTTTTTTTCCTAGTATCATCAACATTAGGAGATGTCTTGCATTATGTGGAGGTTCTATTAGAGGCTTATTACAGAACTTACAACATAATATATACTATTTGAATTTTTTTGATAAAAGAAATTTATAACTAGCAACAATGAAATAATGCCATCATGCAATGGCAGATTGATTTGAAGGTATAAACGGTAAAAACTTTAGTTCAAGACGTAAATTGCTAAAATTTACCTAGTTTGGTGAGTGTTTTTGTACTTTACTTTAAAGTTTACCGTAAATATTTTTTAAAAGTTGCACAATATTTTTGATAGTGTAAATATATATATATATATATATATATATATTATGAATAAATTAGAAAATGGAAAAAAAAAAAAAAAAATTGTTAAAGAATTAAAATTCATATAATTATCCTTTTATTTTATTATTTGTGTTTAAACAATTGTATAAATGTATAATATAGTTCTCCACGAAAACTGTAGACAAAATATAGACTAATTGATGTAATGATTTGATACTAACCAAAAGAAAATAGGGAATTATTATTATTATTATTATTTTGGTGTAGAAAGTTAAATGGATAGTAAAATATATATTACAAATTTGTAAAATAGTATATCTAATATTTAACCTCTTTTAGCACAGTTAATTGATGACAACTAGCTATTAGAAATGTATACTCAGCTTATTCACTTCAGTCAATCCATTCAGCTTCTTTATTAAGTAACTTTACCAATCATCAGGAATCATTCAATCGTCAAAAAAACCTTTATTAAGTAACTTTACCAATCATCAGGAATCATTCAATCGTCAAAAAAACCTCTACAGAGAAGTTGATGTCTCTACAGAAAAGTTGATATCGATCATCGAGCATGTTGATGATATATGAAAAAAAACATATCAACGAGAAAAAATACTTAATTTCCTCCAATATTTCAATTTTTGAGTGAAACATTCTAATTTTGACAAATTTATAAAAAAAATTGTTTGACAATTTCAAACTCAAAAATGATTTTTTCTTTTGTTTTTGTCTGACTTAAAAATTGCTAATGAGAAACTAGATATTTAAGCCTACTAGTCATTTGTAGCTTGTGGGTTGGACTCAGCACAAGGCAAAGGGTCTCATGCAGAAGACATAGTCTATTGAGAGTCATGGTTAAAATTTAAAAAGAAAAGCTATCATGAAAACATTCATTGGCCCGGTAAGTATCTTTTGAAAAAAGTACGATAATTGAAGGTATGGTAGGTTAATCGCTAAAACTTGCATAGTCGAGAGGTGTTTTTGTACTTCAAAAAAATATATAGAGATAAAAGATTTCGAATGGTAGTGTTGTATTTGAATTGCCCCTAAGAGCAGGTCCATTGGTGCAATTTCTGGCGATCCTGGGCCAATTTTGAAGAGTGGGCTGCTCCAATGGACTCTTTAAAAAATGGGCCCCATTAAAACAATCTTGATCCAAGTAGCCAAAAACCAAAATTGGTTTGGCGAATTGCGGGCCTGACATGCGGACCCGCATCAGGTTTCTTTTTCTTTTTTAATTCTGGCCCAAACAGTATTTTAGCCCAGAACATTGTTTGGGAAGGGCTGTTTGGCTGGAAAAAATAAAATAAAATAAAATTAATTTTTGGGCTGATTTTGGTCTGTTTTTTTTTTCTTTTTTTTTTTCCCCTCAAAATAGTTGAACCAAAGAGCCATTAAGGCACAAACAGTGCCTTAAAGGCTTTTTTGGGCAAAAAAAAGTTTTAAAAAAAATAGATAAAAGTGTTTTTTTTTAAAAAAAAAATTGCTTTTTAAAATATTCTTACTGACATATAACCGTTTTAGACACTGTTTGGCTGACACAAACAGTGCCTTAACAGCTATAGTGGCTCAAAACCTATTTTTTGAATTTTTTTTTTTGAAAAAATTCATTATATACATATTTATTTTAAAAAAATAAAAATAAAAACCTTTCATTGTTTATTTCAAATGATATTAGAAACCTTTCATTGTTTAGTTCAAATATGATTTTTTTATTTTAAAAAAATATGCCTTTGTTTTTATTATAAATTAATAAATCAAATGATATTAATCAAGATTTCATACATATTGAATTAATAATTTAATCAACAAACAATTTAATTATTTAATTCAAAATAAAACATTACACAATAAATATTGCATTACATATACTTCATACCAATTTAAAAATAAAATAATGTAACATAAATTAAACACGTGTTTCACCAAAGCGGTTCCACAAATTTTCAATTAAATCTTTCTCAACCGCGTATTTGTCTCTTTGTTGCGAATTTGAATTTGGCGAGAGTAGATGTGTGCTGTTAAGACTGATGGATTTTGAATTAAAGTGGGAATCGAGATTGTCTCCTCCAGTGGCGGAGTTCATCTTCTAACATTGGCATGGCACTCATCTTCAATGATCATGTTGTGAAGGATGATGCACATTTTCATTATAAGGCACAAGTCCCCTTTATCCCAAAAACGCACTGGTCCTTTCGTTATTGCCCACTTGCTCTGCAAGACCCCAAAAACTCGCTCCACATCTTTCCTACAGGCTTCCTGTCTTTGAGCAAAAAGTTGTTCGTTTGCTGTAGTTGGGTGCGGGATGGTCTGCATCAAAGTTGCCCACTTAGGGTATATACCATCAGATAGGTAAGACCCCATTGTATGGTAATGGCCATTCACAACGAAATTAACCGGAGGAATTTGACCAGTAACGATATTATCGAATACCGGAAAATGATCCAGCACATTAATATCATTGTGTGAACCAGGCATTCCAAAAAATGCATGCCAGATCCACAAATCTTTTGAGGCAACCGCCTCCAGTATAAACGTAGGTGTATGAGAGCATCCTTTGTGCATGTCATGCCACGCCACCGGACAATTCTTCCACTCCCAGTGCATACAGTCGATATAATCAAGTATACCCGGGAATCCTCTCTCCTCCCCTTCTTGAAGTAGTCGTGCTATGTCGGCTTCGTTGGGTGGGCGCATATACTCTTCCCCATACACACCAATAACAGCCTTACAAAATGTCATCAGGGTTTCAATAGCAGTGTTCTCACCAATTTTAATATACTCGTCACAATGATCGGCTGCACAACCATATGCGAGTATACATATTGCTGTTGTCATCTTTTGTATAGAAGACAACCCCAAACGACCTGTTGCATCCCTTTTTTGGATGAAGTAGTCGTCATAAGCTTTAACATCATTCAGGATACGAAGAAATAGTTCTCGTCGCATCCTGAATCGTCTGTGAAAGTACTCCGGTGGATATGTGCAATTCTCGTCAAAGTAGTCTTTCATTAGTTGACGGTGGCTTCCCTCTCGATCACGATGAATGTACCGCCTCTTACGTGGTTTAAAAACTTGTTCTACTATCTCTGGCTTCACTGAATTCAAAATCTCACGAAAGGCATCTTGATTACATTGAATCATCGAGTCAATAACGTTATCTAATAAAGAGGATGATGAAGAAGATGATGAAGAATTAGAGCCTGACAAAGGAAAAAATCGTGATGAGGAAGCCATTGGAATTTTGAGATTGAAAAAGATGTGAATTGATATTTTGCTAGAATAAGTTAAGATGAATGTAATAATGATGGAATGAACAAATGGTTGTTTATATAACATGAAAAATATAGCCGTTAGGAAAAAGTTAAAAATAAATTTTATTTTAAATTTTAAAAATATTAAAATAATAATATTTTTAAACAGCGAAAATGCACCATTGGAGTACATCCGATAGCTAAAATTTGAAGATTCTAAAATGCTGACGTGGCTATAGGAAAATGTTGATGTAGCAAATTTGGAGAATCCATTGGAAATGCCCTAATGTGTGTTTGTGCCCAATTCTCTTCTTCTATATTAAGCGTACTAGTCATTTATAGCTTGTGTTGTGTGTTACACTCAAAACAGATGGACAGTAGTCGTGGTTAAAATTTTGATTCCACAACACTTTGTTTTAAACACACACTCTTATCATTCTACTACTTCATCGGCCCCCATGCAATTTGCTTTCCATAGCCTTCTGATCTCAAACGATTAGAAACGCATGATTCCTTATTTATTTTGTAGAAACACTATAATTATTAAAGGGGAATTTCATCCCTATAGTATATAAAGTGTGCAAATAAGGGCTTGTAACATGAAAAATTGTATTGTGAATGTCATTTGCGAGTCATGTGACCTAAAAACCTTCTTTAATATATAGTGCAATAGACACCCTTCGTGTATTCCCAAACTGCCCCTCCCTCATTTCTATATATAATAATACCCTTTATTTCTATTATTTCTCTCTCTCTCTCTCTCTCTCTCTCTCTCTCTCTATATATATATATATATATATATATATATATATATATATATATTTAGCAATTGTGTAACATGTTATCATTAAGGTTTAATTCCCTTTTGCTGGGATGATTATTGTATTTGTCCAAAATTGTTAGATTCCTCCACTTTTATATGATATATTGGACATATAATAATAAGTTTATACAAAATAATGGCTTAATACGAGACTTAAACTCACATACTTATTATAGCATGAACTTTTATCATCTTACCAAGCAAAAACTCCTTGTTATACATATTTTTTCCTTAAGTTGTTTTGTATTATTAAAAAATATTTTATATTAACTACTATAATAAATTTACATGTTCTTAATAATTTGTTGCTGAATTCCATATATATATATATATATATATATATATATATATATATATATAGTCTTTTATAAATATTCTCATTGATTCATATAAGTATTAGGGTAAATTACACTTACCTCCCCTAAGGATTGGACAAATTTCACATGGGTGGAGCATTTAAGGTTTATTACTCTGACCTCCCTTAAAACTATAAAAACTCAAGTATACCCTTATATGTAATATATTTTTATAATACAAAATATATTATAAAATAAAAATCAATTTTCTATTTCATTTCCCTTATTACTTTCTCTCTCCTCTCAACCACCATTACCTTCTCCTAAAAAAATATTGTAAGTAAAAAAAAAAAAAATTAAAAAAAAGAGTGTAAGGGCAATTTAGTCATTTTATGAAAAAAAAAAAAAAAAAAATTACATGTTTTGATGGAGAGGGATTGTTGAGCATACACCCAAACCTTAAGGGAGGTCAAAATAATAAATTTTAAACACTCCACTTGTGTGAAATTTGTCCAAATCTCAGGGGGTTCAGTATAATTTACCTTTTATACAATAAGATGTCATTGTTCAAAAAGTTCCTAAGTTGTATTTAAGTGTCTTTAACCTAGGGTGTGAGTGCAAATTACGCTTACTTCATATATATATAAAACTAGTATTTATATATTAATTGCTTCAAATTTTGGGGAAAAAATGCAAAAATTACTAGTCATAAAATTTTGTACTACGCAGTAAACAAATAATTTTTAACTTGGGGTGTATTCAGGGTTGGTTAAAATTTTTTAAAAGAAAAGCTTTCATAATCTAAGTGGAAAGGCAATGATCCTATTTGTAATTATCCTAGTTTAGAAGATAGAAAATTTGTATCTATTTATTTTTTTAAAGTTCTTTAGGTTGAATATAGTAAATACATTTAAAAAATAATAATATTACATAATTCTTCATCTTCTTTCCTCTTCGTTTTGACATAAAAAACAACAGATTCATTTTCCTCTTCCTCTCTTTTTGTGTTATAGAACTTTAAGAAAAAGCTTCTATCCCCAAGGTAGCTGAAAGAAAATGAAGGAATGTTGTGTTTATGAACACAACCAAATAATCGATCAAAGGTAATGATGTGTTTCTGATGGTAAAGGAAGAAAGCAAATAATTGGACAAGATCAAGAGAACGATCAATGAATTAAATAAAAAATTAATTTTCTCCAATATCCCAATTTTTATAGTGAAACTCTAATTTTGGCAAAAGTTATAAAAATATGGTTGAGTTTTAAAACTTAAAAATGATTTTTTGCTAATGAAAGCTTTTAAGTATACTAGTCATTCTTAATGTATGAGTTGGACGCATGTTGCGGACTCATGCCTAATAGATGGACATGCAAGAAGAGATGGTGTATTGAGAGTTATAGTTAAAATTTTGAATCATCATAAATAGACCTTAAATTTCACTTAGTATCATGGACTTAGTATCATGGAGCTAGTACAGACGAAAGATCATCAAATGTGAAAACTTTTAAAAGAGAAGTTATCTTAAAAAATTTGTACTAATATAAAAATAATGCATGAAAAATTTATATCAAACATCACCAACTGTCAGAGTAAATATGAAAGTCTAACGGGAATTAGATCTAAAGCTACCATTATTATTTGTTTTTTATTTTGTATTTTTGTAATAATATTGTCACATTTTTTCTTATAAAATTAAGAATCATGATTTATGTCCTAAAACATAATAAATCTATAAATTCTTTTTTTCCGGGCTATAAATATTTGAATGCTGCCAAGCAATTATTTTTATTTATTATTATTATTTTTTTTAAATGTCAATATTTCAAAGTAAATTAAATTAGAGTTAATTACAATGACATCCTTTAAGGTTTGCCATAATGACAGCTATATACAAGTTGAGCTTTTTTTTAACAATAAAACTCCCGTCAAAAAATGGATCCAAATAATCCTTAAAGGATGTGAAATGTCAATATTACCCTTAAATATTTTATTATAAAATATTAAAATTCTTAAATGACACTTTTAACCTCACCAATCTCTTTCTTCTCACCTTCTTTCATCAGAAGCACTTTTCTCTCTCTCTGTCTCTATTGTATATCTTGAACCTAGACAACACACCACCACCAACCACCAACACCACCGTCCTCCACTAGCACCAAAAGGTCTTTTTATAATACAAAAATAGGAAAAAATAATAATAATAATACTACAAAAAATAAAAAAATGGAGGGGGGGGCGGCATTCACACAAGTGGAGAGATTGTGAATTTGGGGGTTTAGACAAAGAGGGAGTGGAGGATGGCAGATATGGACACTTTTGTCCATACCGATTGCCGACGAGTTGTCGGAGTTCCTCATTTTTGTCCTCGATTTGCTTCCTGGTGCCGGCTCCACATTGCGGATCTCGGAGATCGGCTGGAAGAACGATTCGGCTTGTCTGTCTCAGTGGTGTCCCCCTCCGCTGTCGCCGACGGCAGCTCTATCAGCGGTGGATGGTGACGAAGGTGGGTGGTGGTTCGCCGGATTACTTCTTAGGCACATGAGGAACCGGCCTAACATATTTTTAATCAAAATCTCAATCAATATCATTCCCGGCGAGCTTCAGAACATCAATACACAACATCATCCATCTTCTAACCGAGACTCGTCATCTTGGCCTAATCGCCTAAAAGCTTCAGCGGACTAAATCAATACCATAAATATCTGGCGTGCGTCAATCCGGTGAAGAGCTACAGTGAACTTCTGATCATCACCGTCCAAACCAGTGAAGTTCTGGTGAGTTTCAGGTACGACAAACTTCATGGTGAAACAAGAACAACCAAGGCCAAACCCTAACCCTAAAAATCCACCACCAAATCCTAGCCCTCTTCGTCCCTAAATCCCTCACCACCACCATTGCACCATCACCACAAAGAAGTATATAGGTTTTGGTGGCGGCGGCAACGTCCATGAGTGATTAAGTGTCTATAACGGACGGTATTGGAGAGAAGGAAGGAAAATAATGGTTTTTTTTTTTTTTTTTTTTTTTTTAAGGCTAGAAAGGTAATTTCATTACTCAATTGGGTCAATTTATAAGTCAAAAGGTAAATTTGTCAATTCAGGTGTGGCATGCTATCATTGGGGTGTCTTTGTTACCTTACCAAATTTTGAGGGGGTATCTGTTGTTTAAAAATAGCTCAACTTGTATATATTTGTTATTACAATAAATCTAAGGGGTGTTATTGTAGTAACCCATTAAATTATATACAAGCCCATAAATGGGTAAGGAAAAGAAAATGATTAAGCCAGCTAATTAACCATATCTGCTACCACAAAGGAGGAAGCCCAGCCCAACAAAGTCCCAACCCTTCTTCATTTAAAAAGATTCGGCAGTTGCAGTTGGAACATGTTTGCAACGGACTGTTTATATGATCTCAAATAAAGTTATAAATTAATTTTGAATCTTAAAGTTGAATTTTGTAATGAACAATAATTTAATTTAATTTAATTTATTAAATATTTTTATAAATAATAGTTTAACATATAACTAAAACTATCATTCAGAAACTTATCAAATATGTTAGTTTTTATGGCAAGTGGTTTTTATTTAAATTGTTAAACAAATATAAACGCCAAATAAACATCAGGTTTTGTTTAAAATCAATAAAATAGTGCTACAATTAAGTAAAGACTAGAGAGATTCTTTCTCCAAAAGTTATAGTTTAAATTTGATATATATATATATATATTAATATTTAATGTCCTCTTTTTTATTGCGTATATACGAGTAATAATTGATCTAATGCTACCTAGGTATAAACAAAAATTTTTATTGAATTGAACCAGTTTGAACCTCCTGAAAATCTCATTCGTTTTAATGTATTCATTTTGAGTGTTTTTAAGTAAAATTCTTCAAGTTTGTTTAACTTATTCCAATAGAGTTTTGTTTTTTTTGTTTTGTTTTGTTTTTTTTTTTTTTAATGCAATAAAATGAAAAATAAAAAATAAATAAGAAGAAGAATAATAAGACAGAATAAAACACACAATAACATGATATGTGTGTGTTTGAGAGAAGGGTTTGTTAAAAAACTCACAATAACATTGATATATACTATAGATGGAATAGGATTACTAATTCAATAAATAAATAAAAAAATTAGCATAAAAGCGGAATGAAATGACCAGAAATAGTATCAATAAAAAAATTTAGCAAAAGAGCTTAATGAAATGACCAGAAATAGATGACTATTTTTCTTTTCTCTGCCGGACAAATAACACACCAACATAATAAACCCTATGAAAGCTCAAGTCTTTTGACAAATTCAAGATATACTATTGAATCATAATAGTGTGTTCAGCTAATTAAATTGAAATTAAAATTGATGAAATTTTCTTAATTTTTTTTTCTCAAATTTCACAAATTTCAATTCCGAGCTTTAATTTCATGCAGCCAAACTCACCCTAGCTAATATTTAACTTTATGAGAAATTCTTCTTTAGTGGGTTGTAAATAACTAATTTTTTCGATCGTCCAATTTTCTTGAGATTTTCAATTAAATAAACCTTAATCATGGCTTACTGTTTTTTATAAAAAAAAAAAAATTACAATTTTAAAAAACATATTTATTCTAAAAATAGTTCCATGCATTCAGAAAAACATTTTCATAGTAGTTACCGAAAAGGAGAATCTTTTTCATAGAACCTAATTAACAAACTGACTTTTGAAAATAAATCAAAATGTACTGACTCCAGCTTTGAAATTGTCACTATCATATTTTAAAAAATGATATTCAAAGTTTTATCATACTTAAAAATTTATAAATATGTCAATTATTATCTCGAACCGATTTGTCCTAGTTTAGTTTATATAGAGAGTGACACAGTTTTGCAACCTCATCTCATTGCAAACTTAAAATTTATAAATTCACTCTCAAAAAGTGAGATTACGCAATTCATGAAAAGATTGAGAGAACTTTGAGATTACGCAATCCATGAAAAGATTGAGAGGGAACGAGAGAGATCACCCGACAAACTCATATTCTGTTTGCGTGCATAAATATTGTTGATAGTAACTAGTACATTTTATCTTTTGGCATGCTGTGTTACAAGTTCTTCCTTTTATGCAATAATTTCTTCTTTTACCATATAATACAAACAACAACCGTTGTATCCAAACAAGCAAAATTTAAAAAAAACAAGTCATGGTGGTTGTCTGTGACGAAGGTCAGATCTCAAACACACTGGTACAAGCACATTGTGCAATGCAAAACACAAGAAAATCAAACACACTGTGACAAAACAATATGTGAAATGCAAATATGAAAAACAAGAAAATTAAACACACAATGAAAAAACAATATGTGAAATGCAATTATGTAAAACACAAAAAAATAAATAAATAAATAAAACACAATGTTGTTGGTGATAAAGGACATAAAATCATAATAAGAAATCCTAATAGCACAGAGGGAGAATTAAAGGTTTTTTTTTTTTCAAATTTGGAAGTTAAAAGAACGATAGTTAATAGCCAAAATATGTATTTTTTCACAAATATTTGGTGGTATGGAGATGGAATAATCGTCCGAGATGGAGAGGAGGCTGAAATAAATAAATATTTTAATTTCCTCCATGTCCCATTTTTGTGAGGATGTTCCCAGTTTTGACAAGTTTATAACAAATAATTTCAAAGTTAAAATGATTTTTTTTAATGATTTGAAAAATATTAATGAAAAACTAGATATTTAAGCCTACTAATCATATGTAGCTTGTGAATTCGACCCATGAAGAAAAAAAGTCTTTAGTCATGCAGAGATTGTTTTTAGAAGAATTTTTTGAAACATATGATGCATGAAAAGTTTATATCAAACACAATTAGGCGTTATTGCCTTTTGAGTTTTGATCTCTAATGATTAGAAACGAAAGGAATATTATTTATTTTGTAGAAACAATTTAGTGTTGATAAAAGAGGTAAACTCCACAAGTTGATCATTAACGCTTAATTTACCATCTAGTGCATATGCTCCCCAAAATATATGATCATCTATATATAGAGTCCTGATCTCTTACTTCCCATGGAGTAAGAAAAATAATCCACACTTTTCATATAGACCCTTAGATTTATCTAAGGGTCATTTTACAAAACCACCCATGATATTTCCTTTTAACACTAAACCACTCTCACCCTATTTTTAGTTTCTATAATTAATTTTACCATTACCATCTACTATAACAATAAAAGGTAATTATAAAAGGTAAAAATAGAAACCTTTGAAAAAAAATTAATTCCCGTAGCTTTCCTTTTATTTGTCGTGGAAGAGTTTACTTTAAGGCTTTGAGGATTAAATTTTTTGTTTTCATTTTATTTAGTTTAAGTTTTAACAACTTTGAATAAATTCAATGTCATATGATTCCATTATTCAGTTGTATGATATATATTGTTATTCACACATACACGCACAAATAACTATAACAATAATACTTCTTTTCATGAGAACTTTGGTTCTCAAACAACATGAAACACCTCTAAATCCCGGAATCGTGCACACCGCTTAACATCTCAGCTGCATCTTTCCCAATACATTTTCAGACCTCCCCTTGAAAACCCATATATACATATTCTCCGTATCATGCTGAACCATGAAAACAGCTTCAAGTCTAATTTATCATACCCACCAACCCCATTACTCTCCCAAGTGATCTTACTATTTGATTTCTCATCCAAAGTTGGTTTAAAATAAAAACAGAAGAAAAACCAGGCACCCCAGACACTATCAAGCCTCTTAGCAATATACGGGTATTGTTTTTCTTTCAAAAAAACTTTTAAATAAAAACAAATTTATTAGTAAAATATACGGGAATTAATCTTTTTTCAAAGGTTTCTATAATTAATTTTACCACCCACTGTAACAATAAAAGGTAAAATATATGGAAATTAATTTTTTTTCAAATGTTTTGTGTTAAAAAGAAAAGTCATAAGTGAGTTTGTAAAATGACCGTTAGATTTAATCTAACGGTCTATATAGAAAGTGTGGATTATTTTTCTTGCTCCATGGAGAGCAAGAGATCAGGACTCATAGCGTTTATATAGTGGTTATAAAAATGTTAAAAGTAATTTGTTTGAGAGAGCTTTGGTTGACCAATTTGTGTTTTTGTATAGTATCATGGACTTTGATGGAACAATAAATCTTTTTTGAAATTTTCAATCAATTCAACATCGTGGTTTATTGTTTTTGGATATATATATTCATTCCAAAAATAGTTCCATGCATTCAGAACATCTTTTTTATAAATGCAATGGTGAATAAGTTCATTATAAGAATGAATTCAAAGAGGTGATTTTACCTTTTTGCTCTTTATAGGTAAAGAACTGACTTTCGAAAATAAAACAATAGTTATGACTCCAGCTTTTTATTACACAACTTGTCAACACTGAAAGAAGAAGAAATATTCATGCAACTAATATGTATGTATGTGTTTGTGTGTGTGTGTGTGTGTGTTCAATGAAAGCCAGACTAAAACGGATTGAGAACCTTCCTTTATGTCGATTCCTACCATCCCGGTGAATGCACCGGAGAAGATCCAGGTCTGACTAAAACAAGTTTGTTCTACATCATGTTAATTCCCACCATCCGACTGCATCCACGGAGGAGGATCCGGTTCCAGTTAAAACAAGTTCTCTGCACGATGTCAGCAGTACTAAAAGAAACTAGTTCTATTAAATTAAGCTGCTTGTCCTCTGAATGCTTGATGCACAAGGGAAGCTTAATCTGAAATCAATCACTTTCGGCCTCCAAAATCTGACATGTGTTCTCTCTTTGGAAATCAACTTTGTCAAATAGCCTGCCAATACAAATCTCATTTGTATCAGACCATGCATTGCTTAAATAATAAAAACATAGCAGCGTAGCGGTGTTTTTCAAAGAAACAACCAGAACCAGAACATTAGACCACATATATATATGAACAATTTAGTGGTTACAAGCACTGTTTAGCTCACACAATAGCTATGATTTCGGCAGCTTCATTTCACTTCTCTCTCTCTCTCTCTCTCTCTCTCTATATATATATATATATATATGTTTTTTATTTGTTTTTCTTTTTCTTTTTCCCTTGTTTGCTAACTCAGATCAAAATGAAATAGATGAAACGTAAGGTCCCATGACTTCCCCAGTAGATCTAGCTAGTAAGCAATAATGTATTCTATTTTATCTTCCCCAGGCTTCATAAATTTGGGAAGACTCCTAGCCCTTGTGTAGATCAAGATGGAAGAATCTGGCGTATAATCTATGAGACAGTTCACCCTAAGAATGCATGTAATATCTTGTTGATCCAATTCAAAGAGAAACACTGGAAAGACAAAGAAGATGAGGCATGAATCAAGCATCTTCATGGCTTAAAAAAATTTCATTAAAATTTTTTTAATGTCCAAAATTGCATGCAAAACCTGCATTGATCCAATTTAAAAGAGAGTGGTGATCTACATTATAAGCTTATTATATCAGAAGGGATTTCAAAGTAAAGACCAGAAGACCGCTAACGTAATATACATAGTGGTTACTGGCACACATTTAGGATTCCCCTGTTCTGATTCTAGAGTCACAAGTACAGAACAGAATTTTTAAAATACCCCATCAATTTGAATTCATTGCATCATATGTCATAAATATGTTCCATAACAGTAGTCTTGAATCCCTTCCCCAAAGGTAAAAAACCAAAAATTCATGCATAAAAATAGTTGATTCCAAAAGAAAAGAGTCATTACTTCTTCCACCTGTTATGAGGGTTGAACTGGACACAAAAACATTTGACAATATTTTAATATTTTATACAGTTCCTTTTCAATGAAAAATTACACTCACACCCCCTCAAGTTAGGCTTAATTACACACAGTGGTCGAAATATGGCCTAATATCACCGTGTACCCCTTATTTTGGGTGCTGAACAACCCCCCTCTCGTCAAGTTGCCCTTGACTTTACTTTATAAAGTAGGGTTAAATTACAAAAATGCCTCTCTCTAAACCCATTTTTGGGTCTATCTAAAGCAAGCCCTAATTTTTTTTTTTCCCTAGTTGGGAAACTCGCACACACTGCCTCCACTGAGGTTCGAACCCCTAACCTCCCTTTGGGAGATAAAAGCCTTGTACCGCTAAGCCACAGGCCTGTTGGTGCAAGCCCTAATTTTAATTATTGCATAAAGCCGTTCTTAATTGAAACATTTGAATTTATTTGTTCTTTTTTTCACAATGGAACATTTGAATTCACTAGCCATATAGAACCTGACTCAGATGAAACTTTTTCCAATTTAGGTGATGAGTTGCTGATTACCGGGGATGGACTTCGGCATTCACAACTAGAATTATCAGCATCTTCCTCCATGCTCAAGAGCCCAGTTTTGGTGGGAAACGTAGATGACGCAGACATAGCAGTAGTGATTTTTCTTACAACAGATGAGGATAATTCTCTCTTTGCCGATCTCAACGAGTTGCCAAATTGTCCTGTGGTGTTCTAATTGGGAGTGTGGGAGAGGGAGCAGGAGGAGCGCTGACAGACCGTTACTGGGAAGAAAAAAACGTAGGTAGGAAGCATAAACAAAATATTGGGAACCGAAATGAAGTGATGTAAAATTTTGATGAGGGATGGATAGCTTTTTACCAATTTTTGGAGAGACGGAGAAGCAGAGGGATAGCTTTGTACAAGAAGATATTTGAAGTTTTCCTCGAATATTTGTTTCTTTCCCAGCTGTTTCTGCAAACCTTCCAATTTTTGTCTTAATTCATCCTCAGACACCATTATTTCCTTTTCTTTCCTCGCAATCAAATATATATGTATATGAATACATAACATAATAACAATTTCTAACGATTCGCTCTCTGCCGCACCACCAACGAGGCACCAACTCTAACCTCTGTATCAGCTTCTCCTCCATGGCACATTCATACCTTTCACTAATTTCCCAAATCCATTCATGGCGCAATCTTAAAGCATTTCTCTACACAATAGCACTTTATACATATATATGTATATATATATATATATATATGTTGTTGAATTCAAATGTGGGGTATTTTGATTTAGCAGCCACGTTGGTGGCGGATTGGAGGAGGTGGTGGTGGGAAGAGAGAAGGTAGAGAGAAATATTGGGTCTTTCAAAAGAGAGCGGGGTAATATAGTAATTTAACTTACAAAATTGTTTCTTATTTTAATCCTATAAAGTCAAGGGCGAAATTTTCACTCTATTTTGGACATCCGTTGGTCAATTAACATCAATAAGGGAGGTCAGTGTAGCCAGGCCCTATTTCAACCACCCTGTGTAATTAGATGAGTGTAATTTTACCCAAAAAGTTTTTCTACAAGAAGCAAATTATTAAATAATTTTGTTTAAAGGGGTGAAGAAAAAATTTGCCTCAGGGTCAAGGAAAACGTTACCCAATTATGCTCATATCATTGAGCAGATCTTCATTTCCATACAATGTCCCCTAAAAATTGAAGAGCAGGGACACCTCTGATCTCCATATCAACAAGGGGCGCCTGGGTCAATGTTAAGCCAGAGAGTTCAGGATCACTCTGGATCATATCAAGAGAACGCATCTGATCCTGAAATATTTGAATGGAAATAATTAGTATTAGCCAAACCACAAGAAGTTCAATTGTGCTTTTCAATAACATGCCTACAGTTTAAGTAGAAAAGATCATCAACAAATTAGAGAAGTATAAAATAAATAAGAAGAAGAAGAAAAGAACCAAAATAGGAAGGGAAAAAATAAAAAGTAAACGTTGGAAGTATTTGATGTCCTAGATAAATACTCCCTGCGACCCAATTTAGTTGTCCATCTTTCTAAATTCAAACATCACATTTCACATCTTTCCATAAAATGCCCTTTAACTTTTTAAAAATTTCAAACTTGATTATATAAATATTCAAACATGAAAGGGCAACTCGGTAATTCTTAAAGGGGACAATGCAATAATTAAATGTCCCCTTATAAAGTCATACTCCCCAAGTGTTACATCTAATATGGGACAGACAGAGTAATGTTTTAGAACTATTCACCAAGAAGGAATCAAACAATTTTCTCTGAACAAGCAGGGTTCCTAAGAGTGACAATCATTCAATCAATTATCATGAAAATCACATAAGCTCTAAATTCAACACATGTTGATTATGAATTGAGTTTCTAATAACCATATATATGTGACAGTCAAATACCTCATGCTGTTACTAAAAAGCTTATAAACTGGAATAGGACAGTAAACTAGAATTTACCTTCCTTTTCACTGAGCAAAACTTGCAGTCTGATGCAGATGGGGGAAGAATCTGATTAACAATAAGTCTCTTGACAGGAACTTGTTCCTTTTTCAAGGAAGCGCACAACCTTGATGACTCATTGATTGCCATCACCTTCAAAGAACAGTTTGAAGAGAGTTCTTAAGTGTGAAACATTAATTTATAATTCATTGTAGAGCAGAAAGACACGAACTACTTTTTTGATGGTCCAGATTGCACAATAATGAATCGAAGTATTTATCCAACATTCCTACAATGATTTTGAAGAAGTTTGTTGAATGTTTTTAGAGTGTATCTGGTTGCAAATGGATTTGCATTAAATAATTTATCTGGAGTTCAAGCAAAGGAGTCGACGTGTACAGTTATGCACAAGAGACACAATAATAAGCACAGACCCATACTACAGAGAAAGCATAATCCAACTCTGCAGATTCTTCATGAAACTATATAATAGGTTTTATTTTGGTCCAAGTCATAACTAAGAATCACAATTGCAAACAAACAAGCCCTTATGCAGAGGGAAAATGATAACTGCCCCATAAATTCTTTAAAGGCTATTACCGTGGGGATCGTTACTATTACAAACTCTGTTGAATCTGTGTCACGAAAAAGTTCTCGTACTTTTATCATCCTCTCCCTTAGTCGCTCTAATTTGTCAGACTGCATAGAAATCAAATATAGACTGTCACAGAGAGAGAGAGAGAGAGAGAGAGAGGTCTAACTAAATCAGGCTTACAGCATCTTCCCGAGTTTCTTCTTTTCCAAAGACAGATTTGATGGCTGAAGTAGCTGAAGTTATTTTCTTCTTTAACTGTAACATGCAACGCAGTTAGAGAAGAAATCAACCAAGAAACGTAGTAGAACCACTGAGGTCAAATTATTTCAAAAAATCTGGTTCTGGTATATGTAACATTAGTAAAAATGACCGACTTGTATAACTGGAGTTGCAATCCACTGTGGTACCCAAAGCAATCGAGTGAAGCAAGATGAAAATAAGCACACCACCTAAGAGCCAAGATGGGTGAAAAATATCTATATATAGAACAAATTATGGCCATTTGCTATACGCTAATAGGTCCAGGAATTTGCTACATGTCAAATTGAAGGAGTAACCAAAAAAGGTAATTGATATACCAATAGCAGAACCACTGGGGTCAAATTATGCAACTTAAGCAGTTCGTGTCATGAAAAGTAAGTGTGGATCAGCAGTAACTAATGTCATGATGGCTATATTCACTTTCAGTTCCAAATTTTTTGGGCACTTCCTACTTTCTCATAGACAACTGCCTCCTAATCAATAACACCAATGCCCCTGGAAAATACACATACCACATCCCTGCAATAGCTATGCTCGACGGGTTAAATCTACTTGATTTATGATCAACATGGAGGGAAAAGGGAACTACTTGTAGTTTTCAATGACGACTTCCCCAGTACTGAAGCCTTTGCTTTTGGGGAGCTTGTTAGATAATTCAGGCTTTTAGAGTTGATTGACCACTGGTGTAACGAAATACCCTTACTCTTGTATCCTCCTTTATGAATCCTTCACTTTAGCCTTTCTGGGGAGAGTGGTTACTCTTTGCCATGATATTCTCTCTTGATACCTTTGCTGCTTTTCTCATGGCTGCCAAAAGGTTTGCTAATTCGCACCCAATTAATTGCTTGTTTCTTGTTGTCCTTAGACCAGCACTTTTCCTGAACTCTGCTGCATCTGCTTTCCGGGCTCTGTATTTCATAATTTTCATTCTCCAGGTGGAGATCTCTTTTGCTTTGTGCATTTTAGTGCTTGTTTGAGGTGATGTTCAGCTCTCTCCACAATTTTATATTCTAACTGAAAGGAGGCAACCTGCTAAGGTTTGAGTTCACTTTCATTTAAATACCATAACAGCCAATATTTATGGCCATTGATATTGTCAAGTTAGGAGTCTTGTATTTTGTTGATTCCTAATCACATACGCTGCATTGCATATTAATCATCTTTGTTTTACCAACATAGTGATCAATTATTTACATAAAAAAAAAATTCTGTAAAATATAATGTTTTCTTTCTTTTAAATTACAAAGTTAGACAATTTCCATTGAATCAGCATGTCAACCATAGGCTGTCTTAAATCTGAGTTAAGATTGCTACCTTCAATATCTTGCCTATAGAAGCATCCAAGAAGTCCGGCAAAGACAAAAGCCGTAGTGTATGACCCTGTCAAGGACATCCGCCAAGTTCAATGTGTAATCTCTAGAACAAAATTATGTCAGAAGGTTATTTTTTGCTTACCGTGGGGGCTGTATCAAAGACTATTCGAGTAAACATATTATATTCTTCCGATTCAAGGAATTGTATAACCTGGCAAGAGGATACGTAGTCAGTAAAGAGAGGAAAAATCCAAGATATCACCTGCTATATATGAGAAAAATTATAACGCATGCGTGCCTTGGAAATTGCAATAGCTTCATCTAAACCAGGAGGAGGTGTGTCCAGCAGCTCTCCCAGCTTCAATTCTCCTAACTTTTTATCATTGAAAAATCAAAAAATAAATTGTTACAGAGAATAGAGAAGCATTTATCGTGATAAAGTCAGCATCAAAGTGACATTCCAGGATAAAAAAGGATGTGTATGTGCGTGCGTGTAGAAAACTGAAAAAGATTTAATATGCAGAGAGAAAAGTAAACAAAACTGCAGTTGCTCCTAATAACTGAACATCATAAAGTGAAGAAGTATGTGAATGTGTTTGTTAGAATTGTGTGTGAATGTGTGCATGCAACAAAGTTGATAAGTACAGCCATATAAAGAAGAATGAACGCCTGCTCTATATTGCTGTCTTCGACTTTAACAATGATAAATCAGTTCAATAAGTTTCTATCATCAGTGTACCTATCAAATATATATATGTGTTTGTGTACATCCTTTCCTATAACTGATAGAATGTTGAAGATTTACATATCAAGACCATTTATGATACCTCAAATATAGTTTGATGGAAAACAATGACTCTCTAGTTGCAAGGCATGAATACAGATAAAGCAGTACCTGTTCTGCAAGCATTCCAAGGCCCATGCCATCCATGAAATCTTTAACTCCAGTTCCCCCGTTTTTCTGGCTTGCATAACGAAATTCTTCCCTAGCTTTCTCAGGGTTTATCTGTTACAGTACTATCATTAGAACATATTGAATCCATGAAGCACTAACTCCATTGAAGAAAAGTAGAAATCAGTAAGTTATGATTCTAGTTAAGCCGAAAAACGAAACAACCACCATATAAAAATGTAAATAATCATAAAGGTGACCTCCCACACACCTCTAGGGCAAACAGCGGAGAATCAGGTCCTTCAACTGGTACTAATGACCCTCCAGTCAAATCCTAGGAAATACGTGTGCACAGAATACAAAGGTTACATGACTTATATCATAAGGGGAATTAAAATTTGAATGGGATAACCAGATAAACAATAACTTAAAAAGTTTAGATGACAGAAAAAGAAAGAACTATCTTAAACCTGCGCAAAAGAGTCACTCAAAGAATGAGCAGGGTCAGTTGACACCACAAGAGTGGGATGACCACTGTTTGCAAATTTTACAGCAAGTGACGCAGCACAGCTGGTCTTCCCAACACCCCCCTTCCCACCTAGCATGTAATACTTTCGTTGGGTCCCAGAAATCATGTCATCAAACTCTGTAGTGGCTTCTGCAGGAGTAGCCACTGATCTCACTGCCAGAAAAAGAAGTATAAATGCAAATTCATTTCAAGACCATCAGATAGCATTGGGTGAGAATTCACATAATAGCATCATGTTTTTTTCCTTATGAAAATTATTCTTCTGAGCCATTAACACTCATGCAATAAAGCGACTTGAAAGTTCTAAGTTGAGTTTTTCTTACCCGGTAATAATGAAGTTTCTTTTTTAATCAGCAATCAAAATCAAGTTATTTTTGTTGGGCAGTAAGGATTAACAGATCTACATCTTGCTACTCTAATGATGAAAATATACCCAATACGATTGGTTGCATATTGTAAGAAAGAACCAGAAGGAAGTTACATGAGAAAACTATAAATCAAGTTCATATGTCATACAGGAAAGTTAAAGTTGAACAGCTTAGCATTTTGTTGTGGCTTTGTGTTCAAGTCACTCAAAGAATCTCCGGAGAATTTATCAGGCAAATAAGAAAAGTAGGTCAACCCCGCAAGTGCTGATGGTTCAGTCTATCAAGATATAAATCCATGGTTTGGAGGTATACTCACTCTCTATGCATGCAATCCAGGTAGTGTTAGAAAATTTGTCATGGTTCGCTCTGATGACAAGCCATAAGCTTATTGTGAGCAAAAAAAAACCAAAAAAAAAAAAAAAAAACCACAGGTTAATTTCTCAATTGTTTTCACAAAAACCTCAAATGTATTTGTTGCTCGTTTTGCCCTTAACCTCAAAATAATCTCCAGAGGCTAAAAATTGGACATAAAGAACAACCAAATACATATCTGCACTATAACTAACAACTCTCTGATAACACACAACCAAGCATGAGGAAAAAATAAAATAAAATAAAAATAAAAAAAAATAAATTCTCTCTTCACTCCCAAAATCCTTTTGGCTATCCATTGTCATCTTTTCTTTCTCTGGTCCTGTTCCTTAATATTGCATATCTCCGCTAAATCCCCACTTACGTGTTTCAAATATTATTTATATTCTATAAAATCTAATCAAATTAATAAACTAACCCAGCAATTGAAAAGAGAATACCTCGAATTTGAACTACCACATAAAATACCCATTTAAAATATCAAATCCAATAATCAAACCCCTTCAGCAATTGCCAAAAGATTAAACCCAAAAAGGAAGCTCTACTACATTAAAAGCAAAGTAATTGGTCGAATTACTGGAACAAATTCACACTAAAGCCAGAAGTGATTATACTGATACAGAAAAAGCAAGTAAAATGAAAAAATTATTCAAACCCATGAAAGAAATTAAAAAAAATAACATGGGTATTGAAAATTTTACCTTGTAATGAACTGGTATGCTTCTTTCTCGTGTTGGAAAGCAAGAGAAAGCCAGAAGAGCTGAAGCTTCTGCGAATATTCCAATAGGAGATTGCAGTACGGATTTTGGGTAGGTGAGAGTGAAAACCCGCCATTGCCATGGAGTTCGTTACCGGGAAGCTACGAACTGCAGGTGAAGCCAAGGCGGTGACAACAAAGGTTGACATGTTTGTTTCTGGTTGCCCAAGTAAAGGAAAATGAAATTGCGATTTGCTTATATAGATATATTGATACAAGATGGTAAAGCTGGTGTACGATGCACAAGCATAACCCTTCAGAAATAATAATAATAATAATAATATAAATATTCCTTTTTTACAACTATAAAATATAAAAATTAAAACAACAACAATATAACTTACACTGTGTTAATTCAAAAATTACACTAATCAATTTTTTTATTTTTTTTTTTTGCCCAATGTGACATGTTCATTAAAATATTAACACTGTTTGGAATGATGTGGTCAAAAAAAAAAAAAAATCAAAATGAAATTCCTCATGTTTGGAATTAAAAGAATTATAAATGGAATTATATTTCACTGGATTTGAAATCTCAGAGTATAGTATCTCCAAATCCCATTAAAAATGGGGAAATTTGATAGGTTTTGTAAATTAGTTTAGAGCATCTCCAAACGTTGTCTATATTTTTTTTTGTAAATGTGATGTGTCACGATAAATTTACACAAAAATTTTGGATTATTTAATTTTAGCTCCAACAGTTGTTTTATACCTTTTGTGTAAAAATATCTAGGATCCCACATAACTTTTACAAACCTACTTAATATATGATTGATTATTTAATAAAATGAGAAAGAGGGATGAAAAAGGAAATATGTTGATCTGGCAGTGTAAAATATACAATCCTTTTATACATTGGTGATGTGGTAATTTATCTTAACAGACTGTTGGAGATGGCCGTGTATATTTTACACAAAAGGGTATTTTAAGATGCTCTTAGTTGTAGGTTAGTAACTTGCCTAATATATTATCCTTTTTTTAGTGAGCATCTTCAATATTGTGTATATATTTTTTTTTTGTGTAAATCTGACGTGTCATAATGGATTTACAAAAAAAAAAATTGAATTATTTAATTTTAGTTCCAACTTCCAACGGTTGTTTTATACGTTTTGGGTAAAAATATATCTCCTAATAATAATCAACCATGTGTCATGTCAGAACCCACATAACTTTTACAAACTTATTTAATATATGGTTGATTCTTTAATGGAATGAGAAAGAGGGATGAAAAAGGAAATATGTTGATTTGGCCGTGTAAAAAGGTTGTATAAAATCTTTTACACATTGGTAATGTGGCAATGTATCTTAATAAATACTGAAGATAAAAAAAATTTACACATCATAGGTGACAGTGTATATTTTACACAAAATTGTATTTTAATATACCGTTGGAGATGCTCTAATAGGATGTTAAAATATTTTTGTGTAAAATATATATAATGTGTAAATTTTTTTTATCTCCAATAGTTTGTTGTTAAGATACAATGTTATGTCAAAATAAGAACTGTTCGACATCTTTTCCTTTCTTTTTTTATTTTATTTTTATAAACATAATTTGATTCATCACTTTCTTTGAATCATCTTGTGCAATCATTGCTGTGAATTATAGGATTTTTATCCTTTTACATTTTATTATAACGAGATAAATATATACCGGCCAAAATATTGGATATATATACCAATCAAATATTAAATATATATTTTAATCACGTTTTTATATAATTGTCATACCAGTCAAATATTAAATATATATTTTAATCAAGTTTTTATATAATTGTTGTTGTTTGATACAGTTATATAATTTATTTATTTTCCTAATTAAGAGGAATTGGGACGTGAGATTTAAACGCAAAAAAATAGAGTAAACTAAGAAGGTTTGTAAAAGACTAAAGTGAATCAAGTAGGTTTGTAGAAGATATATAAGGTCTTGGGCATACATGATTGGTTGTGTATAAAATAAAATGGATGGAGTTAAAAATAAATATTCTAAATTTTTTTATGTACACAATAAAATATACACAACAGTTAGCAATAAAATGGTTAAAAAAAACAAACTTTTATTATTAAATTTTAGCTTAATGGAATTTCATTTCAAATTCAATACCATTTCTTTTTCAATTTCAAATCTCAAAACAATTTAGCTCCAAAAGCAAAAAAGCGATAAAAATTGTATCGTTTTTACCCCTAACAGTTATTATATTACTTTAATTGAGAAATGGAATTGAAGTTAAAGATAAGGGCAAATTTTTAGTGTTGTACTTTGACTTTTTTTTTATTTTTTATTTTTTTAGACAAGTACGCAGACACACTTGGTCCAGGATTCGAATCACTTCCTTGCCCCATTGAGGATCGAACCGAATTGCTAAAACACCAACTGCACCATCTCAATCGATCAAATTGGTTTCTTTTCAGGACAATTTTAATCGAGCACCCTTTCTTTGTATTGCTTAAAAATTTACAACAAATTATTTCCCTAAATTAACTGTCAATGGTGTTTAAATTTAATGTATAATCTTCGGGACCTATATAAACAACGATCCCTTTCACTGGTTTTTTCTTTTCTATCTTCCCTTTAGTTGGTCCTCAGCCTCTTACTGTCTGCTCAGCTCTCGATGCCAATCACCATATAATTTTGTTACAATTAGGATTGAATGATACAATACAAAAAGTGATTTTTGGGAGGAATAATGATTTGAAATTTGAAAGTCAGAACAATTCGGACTAATTTATCTAAACCATATAATTTTTGAACAAATTAGGATTGAATGATACAATACAAAAAGAGTTTTTTAGGAGAAATAATGATTTGGAGTTTGAAAGTCACAACAATTCGGATATAGCCTTGTTTGTTGTAGGAACCAAAAGAACTTTGACCGCCAAATGAGTTTTTGAGGTCTCTCAGTGGATGTTTTCGCAGAACCTGATGGGAAACCTTTGATCCATTAGGTGGTAGGTAACTTTTGGAAATACTTGGATCCACAATTCATTTGGGGGCAGAGGCAGCATCCTCAAATACTTAATCAATTGGGAACTTACCTTAACCATGTCACCATATTGCAAATATGCACTGGACAATTTGTTTCATTTATATGGCATACACTGCTCTATTCAAATGCCAAAAAAAAAAAAGAAAAAAAAAAAAGAAAGAAAGAAAGAATGAAATAAATAAATAAACGTTAAACCATTATAGGGACAAGATCCAACTCAAGATTATATTATCAAAATATTAAACGTGAAACCATTATGGCTAAATTATCACAAGAAATCCACCCTTTAATCTTCCGAGGTTTCTTCTTTCCTCCCGGCCAAATCTTCAAGAGTTAGATTCAAAGTATCCATGCTACACTTTTTCACTTCCTCTCCGCGAGCAGCCAGGAGCTCCTCAACGCTCCCTGGCTCTCCAAACCAACCCAGATGATCTGCAATCAAGTGTAAATTATTGCACCCAGCACACCTTGCCACCACAACACCTTTCTCATATGATTCACGACAAAGTGTCTTGACAGATCTTGTATCACAGACCTTGCAAGTAAAGACCATTGCAAGGTCGTGACGCGGGGACATCTTCAAGTTGGAAATAGCATTGTACTTCACAGCCGAACTGGGATTACTCGATGGGTCGGAGAGAACTTTTGCTGAGTTAGAATCAAGCTTCGAACTGCAAGCTTCACATCCTTCAATAGCTTGCTGGCTGGGTTCAACCGCCGTCTGAATTCTCCTATAGGATGGAGCTCTGCAGAAGGATGAATTTGCAAAAGGAGAAAATTGCAAGGAGGGTTCTGCTAACAACAAATTTAAGACAAAATATGATAAAGAAACGATACCAAAATCAGTTCAATCGCATGCAGGAAAACACAGGACTGTAGGATGACATGCATACAAGAAACTAGATAATTATCAGAATCACCATGGTCAGAACACAAACCACATCCTCATCTAATTTGAGGCTGTACAAAAAATATCTAAATAGAATAGCATAATGTCAAGGATTATCTTATTAACACTATGAGTCACAGTTCCCAAAGTATCAATTATTTTGGGCCAGAGGGAGTATATATTATTATACCAAGAAAAGCATAGAAAAGTAATCAATGAATTAATTAACTATCCTCTCAACCAAATACTGGCTAAAGGCTATATCTGAAGTTGGAAAGAGAATAAGTTAATAATTCAAACTGGTAATAATCATTGAAGTTATTCTCCAAAGTAAGTTGAATTTTTATGCTTTGTTGGCAAAAGTATTGGGTATACCCCGGGGGTACCGACAATGTAGTACCCCTGAGCCCTGGCCAATGGTTACTCACTATTTCCTTTGATAACAGGAAATAAATACTCACCATTGGTTGGGATACTACATTGTCGGTACTCCCGGGGTATCCAATATTTTCTAGCTTTGTTGGGAAAACAAACACTGCCTTTCAAAAAAAATGAGATTATGAGAATAACACTAAGTGTTTCTCCCATGAGTGCTCATTTATCACCATATCACTGTACAATCTATCAAATTGTATTAGGAGGCTACAAGCATAGTTGACTCATCCAAGTCCACCACGAATTGCCCGAGTTTTTTTTTATAAGTAATAATTCACCCAAGTTTCAACCTTCCATCAAGTTGAAGAGGTCCTGAATTTGTCCCTACATGGTTATTAAAAGTTTTAATATCATTTAAAGGAAGTTTACTAGTTAATTTTACATTAAACACTGGAAGTAGATTCCCACACATCAATCAAGATTCATGTGGAGAATTTCTAGCCATTGTCAGAGTCAACTTTATCAACCAAGGAGGGATAATAGAAATAAGGTGCTCGTTCTTATAAATGAACACCCCCAAGAAAAATATATAGTGAACCCAAGCTTTGCTTTGGCAAGATGACTCAACTACGCAGGCGATCTAATAGGTTATCAGATTGGTTTTACCACCCATGCCACTTCTGTGCGGTGCAATATTTCTTGGTACCATAGCCTTGTAACTTACATTGTTTGCGTTTTTTCATTTATATTTTATTAGATTAAAGAAAAGTTGGTTGAGATTAGGTTTATTTTAAGTGAGGATTGGTTGTTTATCCAACAAACTCCATAATAGGTTTCTTTTCTAGTATTAAATATTTGAGTTTCCTTTAAAACAGAAATCACGGACCATTCTCCTCATGAACTCTTCTTCTATTCTATTCTCTTCTCTTCTCTCCTCTCTTCAACAACTATAGTTTCTTGCAATCTTTCTATCAACGACTACAATAGATTCAAAAAACAAACCATGTGTTTAACTTGTTTCAATCCCCCCAATGTTTTTCATATGAACCGGCACCGACTAATAGAAATGTATATTTAGAAAGTGGATTAGATGAGATTACATTTCTTCCACTGATTGAATTTTTTAAAAGTAACCAAGGAATGTAGTACAGTGGTATCTCTTATACCTCCCCATTGAAACAAAATGAGTCTGTGTCATTTGCTAGGATAAAATATATGTATGTATGTGTGTGTATATATATATATATATACACAACATATATATTCTTTAAAGTATTCTAAAGTAGCTTGAATTAAACTACACCCATAAACATACTCTGGAACTATTTGAGCCCATACAATTTAATTTTCATACAGCTGACCTCTAGTGTTTTTACAAATATACTTGTATCTTCAATATATTCGAACTTCTATCCATTAAAGATTATGCCCTAATTATATCTATTCAATGGGTCAGTTTGCATAAGTAGAAAAATGCAAATTACAACAAATATATATATATACACACATATATGTTCTTTAAATCATTCTAAAGTAGCTTGAATTAAACTACACCCATAAACATACTCTGGAACTATTTGAGTCCATACAATTTAATTTTCATACAGATGACCTCTAGTTTTTAGACATATACTTGTATCCTCAATACATTCGAACTTCTATCCATTAAATATTATGCCCTACAATACATTCGAACTTCTATCCATTAAAGATTATGCCCTAATTATATATATTCAGCAAATTGGTCAGTTTGCATAAGTAGAAAAGTGAAAATTACAACGAATAAATAAATAAAATCTAGGGTTTCAATTGATGAATAAGTACATACATAGATATAAATATATATACACACACAGAGAAAGAGAGAAGAAAGTGAGAGCTAGCCTTTACGGAGAGATCTCTGCGGTAGCCTACTGCTACCAGCAATAAGCGATAGTACTCGCCTCTGCATCTGCCGAGCCGCCATCAACGAATCGCTTCCAAGCCTTCAAGTTATACCCTTGTTTCTTTGTCCCGTATAAATGTATCTCTCTCTATATATATTATACACATAATATGTATGTATGAAATTTCCATGTTGACCACTTAAGTTTGTTGTAAATAGATACGAGTCCCCATGTTTTGAAAACTTAAATTCAATTTAAATCATTTTCTTTTTAAAATGGGAAAGAAAAATATATCTCTTTTATGGTTTTTTTTGTCTTTTCACATTTTGTTGACTGTGGAACAAAATCACATTATAAAAATAGAAAGGCGTGACGGTAATCTTCACAATTTTGGTTAAGAATCAATCAAGAAACTATAACATAGTAATGCAAGTGTAATTTTCAGAAACCTTTAAACACAATACAACATCACCATTTTTATTTGGATTAAGTTGTGTATAAATATATAACATAGTAGATAGTTATACAGTGATGACATGATAATTATATATTTATTTATTTATTTATTTCATAGTTTGGATGTGAGTTGACCAAGTTTGGAGATATAGTTGTGGAAGGAGGGGTGGGCGGGGTCCATCCCTTAAATTTTTTTTATTTTTATTTTTTCGGGAAAACTCTATTTATGATACTAAATTTTAATCATTAATGACGATTGTGTGTAGAAAAATTAAAGCTGACCTCTCAAATTTTAAAAATTGTTTATTTATGGTCACCTAGTAGTTCCTAAAGGTGGGTTTGCAAATGAATTTTAACCCCTTGAAAGTCTAATGAACCTATTGCTTTACAAAAATTAAATTTAGTAAAAACGATAATTAATTAATTATTATTGTAATTCTTGTTATATTTATACATATATATTATTTGTCATTAATTAGAGATAAGCTCTTCTTTGTCAATCTTAGGGAGTATTTATTTTTAATGGATATGCAATTAATGCATTTTCTACTTTTAAAATTATTAATTTATCTTTTTAAATTCAAAAATGTATATTACTAAGTGAAGATTTTTGAAAATTTTAAAGGGTAAATATGAAAAGATAGTATTCCTTTTGGTTGTCTTTTAAAAAGTGACAACTAAATTAGGAGGTACCAAAAGGAAAAACTGGATTACTAAGGAGTATGATCTTAACAATATACATTAAAAATGCAATCATTTTATTTAACTTTTAAATTTTAATTTTATATTACTAATTTAACCCTCCCCAATAAATATTTCTGACTCTACCCCTATTTGGAGAGACCTAATATAGATGATTCAAATCATTTATCACATCTCAACTTCGCTTGAATTTTCAATTGACAATGTTTACTTTTAATTAATCCATTTGGGAAAAAAATTGTATTTTTCTTTAGCACCATCTATTCTTCATTTCTCATTTTCCTTCTTTATCATTTTTAGTAGCTCCTAAAAAAATAATAATAATAATACGACCTCATTCATCCAAAGTTGTAGAAATTGTTTCTAGGAAATTCCTAGCCTCAAGTACTTAGGTTACAGCATCTCAGTGTATATTTTTGTGTAAATCTTACTTGTCATAATAGATTTCTATAAAAATTTTAAATTATTTATTTTTAGCTCTAGAGGTTGTTTTATACCTTTTGTGTAAAAATATATCTCCTTAACAACCAACCAGTGTCATATTTGAAGTTACATAATTTTTACAAACCTAATAAATTTTTTTATTTTATACAAACCTACTTAATATATATAGGGTTGATTTGTTAATGGAATGAGAAGGATTTTACAAACCTATAATAATTTTTTAAAAAATTTTATTTCAAACAGTATGATAAACTACCAGGTCACTAATGTGTAAAATTATCGTATATTTTACACCACCTTTTTACATAGCCACATCAACATATTTCTTTTCTTCCCTATCTTTCTCATTCCATTATAAAGAATCAACCATATATTAAGTAAGTTTGTAAAAGTTATGTAGGTCCTAAAATAACCGCAATAAAAAGTGCGGATGAATTTTCTTGCTCCATAGGGAGCAAGAGATCATTACTCTATATATATATATGTATGTACACAACCATTAGAGATTCTCTTAGGCCCTATTTGGGGATGCTCCATCTTGTTCTATGCCCTTCCCTATAGTGCAAATAGACACTATTGAGGACACCAACTTGTTTGCTATGGGCTGTATTGTGTCCAACAGTGCTAGAACAAATTCTGTTTTTGGGCCAATTTCCGGAACAAAAAAATCATGTTCCAAAGTGTTCCCAAATTTTGCAAGGCCCACTATTCACTGTAGAATGGAGAACAATAGCCCAAAAACAAGGAATTCTGAGAACACAATTTAAAGAATCGGTCCATCTTGTTCTAAGGTTCTCTCCAGACGACTGAGGCGATTCACAGTGGTCTTCTTGTCACTGCAATGGGGTTAAAATCGACGACACTGAATCAAATCTGAAGGTCGTCTTCTTGGAACGAAAGAGTTCCTCTGCTTCTTCTTCTTATTTTCGTTGTGCTCTGTCTAACATTTTTGACGTTGTTTGAAGATCAGGCTTCAAATCGACCATGTTTGTATGAAGATCTGACCTCCCTCTGTCTCACCTCTGCATTTTCCGACGAACCCAAGTTTCGTCGCTTCTCTCTATACTCTCGGTTTACCCCAAGCTCTCTGTCCGACGAACCGAAGTTTCCTCATCTCGGTATGTTGAGATTTCTTACAAATCTTTTAACCCCTCGTTCTCCAAAATCTATCCCCACTTCATTCGTGCTAATATTTACTGGTAGGTGCCCCAACACTTTAAAAGTTTCTCCAACAATTTTCTGGATAAACTCTAGTTTGATTGTTGACTGTCTATCAGGATCTCTCTGTTTTTGGTGAGACAAGCATGATATAATATTAATTAATTGAAAAAAATTGAAAAAGAAAAAAAAAATCATTCTCTACAAAAGAGTTCTTGAAGAAAAATATTTAATAAAAATAATGAACCAATGGAGTTTAAATATCAAAATGTCAATTCAAGCAAAAACATACATAAAATTTACTAATAAGAGAAATAAAATTGTACTAAGATAAATTTTACAATTTACAATTTATTTTATTGGTTTTTATAGTAAACTAAGATAAAATTTTAAAACTATATATATATATATATATATTAAAAGTTATATCAATTGTATATTAAAATTATACAATAATTAATTTTAACTTTATACTTAATAAAGTTAGAAAAAATGTATTCAAGAAAACATTATTTAAAAACATTCTTAATCTAACATATTTAATTATTTTATTTTTCTACATCTGCGTAGTTTTTTTAACTGAATTTTTGTTTGATCCAAATTCTCAAATCTCTTGCAATTTTTTCACCTGCTATATATATATATATATATATATATATATATATATATATAATCTGAAATTTTAAAAAAAATTGTTAGATAATATAATATATGACTTATTATTATATAATATAATATATGATAAAATTTGTTTTTCTATATATATATATATATATATATATATATCAAAATAGCTTGAATTCTCATTTTTATGGAGTATCTTCTTCACTATATTCAGAATAATACAAATTTAACAAAAAAATTAGGCATTAACTTTCTCTCATTGCCAATGAAAAAAAGAATTTCCGTATAATTTAATCACAATATAATCAGTATGCCACTAAAAAAAATAAATTTGTCAGACTAATTACACAAAACAAAATCTCAGTTCCGAGTTAGCGAGGGGCCAAAGAGACTGAGAAGTCCGTGAGTACGCCCATCGACTCGGCCCATGCCTTCGATTCCAAATAGAGCTTCGAAATCCGACCCGCAATCCAACCCATATCGGGCCTCTTAACCGGATCATCCTCTACACATTCCAACCCCACACGTGCCAACTTCTCCGCCACCTCCACCGGATACGAGTCCTTCAACCTCTTGTCCACCCACCACCTCAACTTCCCTCCACCACCACCATCGACCGCCTCTCTCGCCGTCTCTATCACCGACAACCTCTTATAACCACCATTATCGTCAAATTCATACTTCAAAGGCTCATCCCCTGACAACAGCTCCAAAATCACAACCCCAAAAGCGTACACATCCGATTTCTGTGTGGCACTTCCGGTGAACTGAAATTCCGGCGACATGTAACCTCTCGTTCCCTCTAATTTCATTGACTTACTGTTTGTTCTCTTTAGTTTGGATGCAGAATTCGACTTCTCTGCTATGTTTGCTTCTTGATCAATTTCGCCGCAGAGCTCAGAGGTACCAAAATGACAGATTTTGGCATTCAATGACTCGTCTGTGACTATAATGCTCGAACTCTTGATGTGATTGTGTACAAATCGATTCAATCCTGTGCAGTGGTGAATATAATCGAGGCCGTGAGATAGATCGCTCGCAATCTGCATTCGAGACATCCAATTGGAGAGGACGGTGAAATTAGGGTTTTTAGGGTTTCGCAGACAATCGGAGAGGTTAGCTCCATGAACGTAGTCATACACGAGGTAAATGTAGTTTCCGGAGATGGAAGCGCCGTGGAGCTTGATCAAGCTGCTATGGTGGCTCTTGCAGATCAGAGACAGCCGTTCACGGAGCTCCTCCGGCGCCATGGGCCGGCGGAGCTTCCTCTGGTATACAATCACTTCCCTGCCGCGAATCGCGCACCGCCACGCGGCGGAGGAGGAAGAGGAAGCGAACCGCTTGGCCAAGAAGTTGCCGGTGGCAGAGCAAATCTCCGAGAACTCGTAAATGTGAGCGTGTTCTGCTAAGGAGTCTCGCAGAGTCGATAGCGATGTTGGGCTCGAAATCGACGACCGCCATGACTCCTTGTAATAGCTCGAACCAGTGGTGTAGTTGAGGCTCGTTGAAGCCTCAGAGGGTGATTTCTGAGATCGATAGTCGTCGGCGCTCCGTCGTGAGGTCAGTGATGGTCTAGATGCGGTGGTTGAGATTCGAGAGTTCGAGTGGTTCGGCTCCATCACGTCTGTGCTCTTCTTCGATCTACACATGGGAGAGGAGGACAGAATTAGAAACCCTAACCAGAGTATATGAGTTGGCATAAATTAGGGTTTGTTTTGCTGAACTTGAAGAACATGGTCCGCCGTGATGACTAACTCGAATTCGCAAACGCGTCGCCGTGGAGGCGGAGGAGAGCGGCTGTAACTGGGTTTCGCTAACATGCGCCGGCGGAGGCGGCGGATCGTAGCACGGCTTCAATGACAGTTTGGGTTGTTTTCCGTTCGGAGTTGTTCAGAGCAATCCCTTTCCTTATGTCGCCCATGCGTGTCCTACGCGTGTCGTGTTCAGAATTTCATTTGTTTTCGGTGAATATGGTAGGTCAGGTCGGATCTAAAGCTAATTTGATTTCACATGTACAAAACAATTAAAAGAGTACTGTGAAAATGACAGTTATTAAAAATGTCTTGTGTTAAGACAAAAAAATAATAATAATAATAAAAATGTTGGTGCTTCATAGTAAATAACATATTGAAACCATATATAAAGTATATTTAACATCCATAATTCAGAGAAAATAAGTTGATTTATTATTTTTAAATTTTTTATGAATTGACGTGTCATGATAAAGTTGCACTGAAGAATCGATTACATCATAAATTGGGTATATTTTCATCTTAGCGTAAGTGATTTGATTAAATTAAAATTTGCGTAGTTAGAAGTTACGCTCACCAAATTTGAATTCTGTTGCATCTTAGGAAGTCATGGTTTCATTATTGAATTAAGTAAAAATGCAGAAAGACGGAGTAATTGCAATTGGATTATTAGATGAAACCGTATTCTCAATGTGATTTATGTGATGTGAGTTGTTCATAAATAATTGTGTTTGGCACTAGGCAAAAAGTGTTGACAAATCTAGACTATTCAATTATAAGCTTCTTAAATCTGATTATTTAATGCTCCCGGAGGCTTAGATGAGTTGGTAAGGTGAGGGCTTTGAATTCGAGCCTTTTCTTTTCATTTATTACTCTCGACTTAACTTGTTACTTGTAATATGAGGCTGACATCGACAGCTTGAGGTTTACCTGATAACTACAGGTCCAAAGAGTGGGTGATTGCGCATTACCGTTATCCCTAAATTAAACATATAACGAAATAATAATTGAGTCGTCTTGATGGCTACAAACAAAATTCTTTCTAAAATTTTATTCCAAGTTAATTTCGGCCGCCTCCTATTACTCTATACGCAAATTAACATTTCTCTTCTTGCTGATACATTTATAGGTATTCAATGTATGTGTCTATGCCACCTAAATTTACTCTCTCTAATCGTATTGCTATTACGTGTCACGCATAATTTTCCCATACAAGTTTCATATAGTATAAGCAAAATCTTGTAATCAGCTAAAATAGTTAGAAGCCCAACTCGACCATCCAAGTAATAATACAAATGACCCAACTAGAGTTGCAACTCGGGCGAATTAAACTAGCTGGAATCCTAACTCGATCCTAAAGTTTAACTACTCAATTCGAGCTCAATTTACCCTTCTATTTTTAAACCCAGGTTTGCAATTCGGGATAATATTTTGGGTTAAAATAAAGTCAGATTAATTCGGGTTACTCATATGACAATTATGAAACTAAAAATTTGATTTTATTACAAATTTTTAATAAGCTACAACAAATTCCGAGAAAATTAATTCTTCAAAGTGTCAACATATAATAAATTGAGATTTAAACAAAGTAAATTGAAAATAAAAAAGGGTGATCATAATTTGAACATTATATATAATGTATTTAAAATAAAAAATAATATTAGAATTTGGATTCGGGTTTCTAGCACTTCAACCAAAGTCCAATCTTAATTAAGTTCAGGTTAAAAATTTTCAACCCTAACCCAACCATTATTGTAAAACTAATTGTTCAAACTAGAAAAAATGGCTGAGCTTGAGTTGTGTTCGGGTTGCCTAGCCCAAGTTTCACCCCTAGACCCAACAACACCTACTCACAGTGTCCAAAACTAAAATGCATTACCTAGCCCAACAACAAACTCAACTGATATAATCATGGTTCGCAATATCGGTCACGGTTGCGGCATCAGTCATGGCATCAGTTGTGGCGTAACGAATTCAGACAAAGTCAGTATAAACTGATCTATACGGATCGCGTATCGGACATTGACGGACCCAGAGGTGGGCTCAAGCCCACCAAAAAAAAAAAAAATTTACTATACCTAATTTTAGCCCAGTCCAAAAAAAATATATATATTATTACTATTACCCAACCCAAATAAATAATTCCTGAATTCGCCCTTAATATTGAACTTGAAAAAGGGTTACTTATTCAATGATGCGGCCAATAAACACAACTATCATCTCATAAACATAAATATTATGTATAGTGACGAAGTTAAAAAATTACTCCCTACCCCACTTTAGATGTCCAATTTTAAAATTCTAACTTTTTAAGAGATTAATTTTTAATATTTTCTTTTGTTGAATTGGCACGAATGAATTTCCAAATTTGCCATATGTTTGAATCAGTGGGTGTATAATAATGTTATTTTTTATTTTTATCCTTTCAATGCATTAAGGATAAAATTGAAAAGGTCGAAAACATAGTAGACTGATATTTGAAACAGGACAATTATTGTGGGACAAAAGAAGTATTTAAGTTGGGGTTCTTTGTGGAAACCAAATTTAGAGTTAAATTATTTACAAATTGGATCATTTTTATTTATTTTTAACAGAAGTTGGCTCATTCTATGGTTTGCATTTGCGTGTGGCAAAAGAGTCCTATGAAGCTACATAATATTCGGAGGTGAGATTAGGGGTTGCTAATATGCTTTTTCAATGCTGATTTTGCCTTTTCCAATGTCTTTTGGCATCTCAAATAACCTCATTTCTTGTAATGTGAGTTTCGAAAAATATATAATTATACTTTTTTGGAATTCATAAAAAATTTAATTAAACCACTCTAGTTTTTGCTTTGAAACAAAAATGCAAATTCATTATTTTGGTAGTTAACATATCATTAATACATTTACATAAATTATACATGTACGATCATTGATATCGATTATACAATATTAATAAAGATACATGATCCCTCATTATTCATTTTTGTTAGATTGCGCTAACAAAAAACATAGCTAAAATTATACGCTCCTTTCCATCAATGAGTCTTTAGAGAACCTGGAAGAAGGAAAACTAAAGTGTGGTAATATCAAGATAGCAAAAAAAAAATGCCAATAACAAAATGATATCATGTATGTTAATATTTTTACTTGTCACTTGTTAATTTTTTTTTTTTTTTACTTACCTACAAAAATTCTAGAGCTATTCTTGGTATAAGTGCTGGGGATTTTGAATATTTTTATACATTCTTAATTTTAAGTTTACTAAGGTAATTATATCAAAATGCTACACTTATATATTCATATCACAATCTAATCATAACACAATATATAATATAAATAAAACAACATAATAAAGTAATAGACTAGTAAAATATATAAAATCAATAAGAGAAAAGTAAAGAAACGTTTTGCCTGTGTAATAGAAAGGCACCTAGTATTCGCTATCCTAAAGTCTTTATAGTCTCCCTACGTGCAGATTATGACGACTATGAAAACTTCAAAATAGATCCAAACTCGAGCTCCAATGGCGATATTGATAGTGTTTTTGCGTCTAAAGTTAGCTTTCCATCCCAGCATTATCCACAGGAATTCAAGATTGTTTAGTACAAGTGCTAGGAGCACAAGAACCCAATTGGTATTCTCAGATGACAATAAGCAGAAAATGTTGGACTTTGCTGTAGAAAACAATCAAATAAATATAACACAACACATAAATGCTGAATTGAGTGCAATTCGAACCAAATGATTCTAACCAATTTTAATATGGTTCAGTGAAATTAGATTATGGTCTAAGTAGCTCAGACTACTTGACCTATGGCTTGAACCCACTTGGGTTGGGTTCAAGTTTAGAGAGGGAGAGAGAAGAAAATGAATTGAACGAATTGTAAATGGCAGCCCAAGGGGATATTTATAGAAATAGAAGTGTCTTTTCGGATTTGGTGTATCTCTTCATCACTGGACACAACCATTTATATGTATCTCTTCATCAATGTGTTTGTTTTATCACCAGACACCTAGTGTAATAGATTGCAATGGTTCGAATAAGTTATGTCTATTGGTTTTGAGTTGCATTTTTCTTCCCACAACTAACAAGTGATCACACATGTTCAGTCCAACACATCTATTGATGACCAATGAAACAATTTTCATTCACAAATTCTAACAAAAACTCCTACACTTGTCAAACAAAAGAGATACATCAAATAAAAAACTTGAGAACACATCATACGAAAATGGTGTAACTTAATGGTACTTTCTCATTTTACAAAGTAAAACGTTCACTTTACAAAGTAAAATGATGATTCAATTTTTCATAAGAACAAAGTGGGGAAGGAGGTAAAACGATGATTGAATTTTTCATAAGAACAAAGTGGGGAAGGAGGGCCATGGCCCCCCTTGTCCCCCTGTTGGTCCGCCATGCATGCCAAGTGACCGTATTGAAAAACTGAAAAACACCTGAGCATATTTCATTATCTCCGCCGTTTTACCGTTACATAGAAGAGAAGAAATTCAGGTACGGGTGGGGTTTGAATGAGCATGCATGAAGGAAAAGAAATAATTTTAGAAAAGAAAATAAAACAAACGATAAAATGGTCTAAACTTTTGTTGTTAAGATAACTATGATAAGGGTGAAAACTGGGAGGAACCAAAAAAAAAAAGAGGAAGAAAAAGTATAATCCCTTTCTTTTGGTAATTAGAGCAATGAGAAAGGAAAGGATAGTTCCAAACAAGAGAGTAGAGGGGGGAAAGTGTAAATGAATATTAAATTCTATGAGTAAAAAGTACTTGATCCTTCACTCGTACAAAACTAAAGAAAAAACTGAAGAAATTGCCATACTATTTTCTCCCTTCCCTTGTTAAAACCATTGTTTGGTGGTGTAAAACTTTCTTCCTTCTCATTCTTTTGTTTTTCCATTTCGTTTCCTTATTTTCTTTCCTTTCCTTCCAACTCTCCCCTTAGAAACAAATGCCATCATACATTTCAAAACCATAACCCTGATTGCACAGAATCGAAATACCTTTTCTTTCTTCCCAGAGTACAAAAATTAGATATGAAAAATAGAAAAGAACCCTAGTACTTGTTGGTCATCAGCTTAGGACTCGAGAGTCTCACCAGTCAAACAAAAAGTCATCACTCTAGCAAGACCTTAAAGCCCCAGACGGATTTTAAAACCAGCTCATGGAAGACTAGAACTAGTGATTAGAGCCACAAAGTCAGTGTTCTTGACCATGAGGAGTCAATAGGCAAAAAGAAACTAGGACTATCACATTCATTAAACATTGAGACAACCATGACACATCCTCAAGCTAGCACTGAATTCACCTCTGCTACAGCACCATTCCTGTGCAAATTAACCAATCTTATTATACCTGAGATTTGCTCCTCCAGCCAATTCCATCTCATTCTAAAACCAGCAAAGGAAAATCATCCAGAACAAGCTGCATTTTTCTACGCTAGTTGTACAACCGAGACATTCAACACAAAACTTAATAAACCCCAACTAGTTAATGGTCAGAAATGATCTTAATCAACCCAATCATGACTTCTCCAGAGCTTTCCCTTCGGAAGATGGAGCCACCGCCAATCAATCAATGCAGACTATCCATTGTGTCAAATAAACCCCTATTTTTCTAACTGGTTGAAGCTTAAATTAAAATTGAAGACCCCAATACAAAATGGGTTTTCAACGATCAGTCATTCAGATAATAGAAGAAAGAATGCCCACCCACAAAAGGATCAGTCTACCCCTAATATATACTTAGACCATCGTAAAACCCTAGTTTACACATGATTCTGGAAGCCTTTTTTGGCCCCAGGATTCCTAATCCCTGAGACCCCATTAATTAAGGGAAAGGGAGGAACCTGACAGAAGTAACAAAATTTCAGGTTGGTAGTTTTACATAATGCCCAGTTTTCCGTCTATGGCGGCTAAAATCGGATATGAACCTGAAAGTAAGACCACAACCCTCAACCTTGCACTGGTATGGCCGCTCTCCTGTGTGCACCCGTAAATGCTCAGTCCTAGCCCACGCCCACTTGAATGACATGGTGCAGCCCTTCCATGGGCATTTGAGGGGCCTGTCTTTTTCATGAAGACGTTGATGAAGCATTGCGGAATTGTGGGAGCTGAATTTCTTCCCGCACCCTTTGTATGGGCACCGATTATGTTTATGCAAACGTAGATCTGCCTTTGTCCTGAAGCTCATTGAGCAATCTTCAAGGTCACATTTGTAAGAGCCCATTGTGTTCCCCTTAATGTTTTCTTTTTTGCCTTTGCAAGAAACAGAATCATCTGAACATTTCCTAACTTTCTTCCGTGCCAATTTCTCCTCAACCATTTTGTTACTGTCATATCCATTTCTAGTGTCATCTTTTCCAGCCCTTGGCCTCAACCCTTCACATGGACTCCTAATAAAGCCACTGAAATCAAATTGATCTGTTTGCAGCTCCATTTTTCTTTTTCTTTTGCTTACTTTTTTTCCAGAAGACCTGGGTTGCACCGTGTCGGACTCGTCATTTTCCAGCTCTCCGTCGTTCAGCAAAGAACAATTCTCACCACCACTCTGCATCTCCTCGGTAGCATGGGTGTCTATTCGAACTTCAGAACTTTCTCTCGTCAAGACAGATGTTGGCTTATTTATCAGTGTAACATTACTTGAAATGAGCTCTCTCACATCACTTTCATTTGTAGACTCAATTTCTTGCTGCACATTATCATCTGAAGTTACACAAGCGAAAACCTCATTTTTCATGCAAATTTTCATAGAGTTGGTCTGTTCTGGCCATCTCTTGTCGGGCAAAGAACAATTCTCGTCACCAGTATGCATTTCCTTAGCAGCATTGACCTCTCTAGGAACTTCGAGACTTTCTGCCATTGTTACAGTAGTAGACTGATTTCTTAGTTTAACATTGCCTGAAACGAGTTCCTTCTCATTACTTCCATTTGTAGTCCGAATTTCTCGCTGTACTTTATCATCCTGAGTCACACAATCATATGTATCGCTGTTCATGCAAAATTTCTCCACTGTTTTCTCCACATGTGCATCACAACTCCCCATAACAGGTTCATCAGCACATGAAACCACAGATTTTGCAGGACCAGAGGCCTCCACCAAAATATCCATATCAGACTGAATATGGCATTGCCCTTCAGAACAATCCATAGTCACCAGATCATAACCCTCATTTGTCATGCTAATTTTCTCCATAATTTGATTCTCTCTCTGCATCTCACAAATTTCAATACTGTGAACAGCAGCGAGTGAACCAGCAAAACTTTCAGCATTCCATCTCTCATTTTTCTCATTGCCTCTCTCAGTGACCCTGAGCTTCGGCTGCATTTCAGCACCATCCCAGGTTGAATCCACATCTTTTCCCTCCATGATCATTTCTTTCGAAGTATGGGTTTGAATTTGCGACTCCACATTTTCAACTACTGGAGTGGCAGTGTCAATTAAATCTGCTTTTTGTGATGGAACAGAATACTCATCCCAGGTCGTTCCAAGCAGTTGACTTTCATGTTGCAACACAGATTTTCCAATAGAAGCTAACACATCCAGTCCTGGAGAACTGTTTCCAGTATTTTCATTGTTAGAGATGTTCTCAGATGTGCTTCTGCTTTTTTTATTAGAATCTCCACAATCGACAGCTAAAACTTCTTCAAGCGGGTGCTTCATAGGGTCTCCAGAGGCCTGCCTTGCTTGTGCAAAATCATCACGCTTAGACTTGAAGCTTCTTCTATAATATTGAATAATTTTATCTACTTTCCTAACCATGTTGCCATCTGAGTTTGCTCCCAACACTTCATCCTTCTCCATTTGAACACTGTCAGATGGTTTGATATAGACCGGATGATTTAAATTCCGTTTTGATCGAGATTTCCTAGATCTCCACTTGAGATATAAGGCATCGGAACTGGGACTTGTGTCAGAAGACAACCCACTCAATGTCAATGCATGTTGTACTTGCATAGATGGAGAATTTTTCCTGATCTTGACACAATGCCGTAGATTAATATTCAGTTTTGAGGTCCAGTCTTCTCCACATCCATCTTGTTCTTCATCATCAATTGCAAGATTTATCAAGTTCAGATCTTCCTGGGATGCATTATCCAATGGAATCTCATTATAGTTAAAAGGACTACCAATTTCCTCTGTGATGGCTGCAGCATGTGCCTTTATTTTCTGAAAGTCTACGCACACCAAAATCAGTTATAACCAGTTAACCACAAGGAGAATAGAGTTGCAAATTACACACACACACCAAAAAAAAAAATGAAAAAAGAATTAACATCTTTTAATTTTTTCTTTTTTATATTATTGAACAAGAGGTTTTCACTGGTCCAGCTTGGTCCTAGTGGCTTTGGGTCTTAATTCCCAAACCCTAGGCCAAGGTTTCGAAACTGATAGAGAAGAAAAAAAGAACAACAAGTTTTCATGACTGCAATCGTTTTGATATACAGTCTTCCCCATTTCACTTTTTAAAACTAAGCTGAGAAACGGCCAAGAAGAGAGCAATTAAATTCAGAGTTTGGATTGTATAATGGCTTTTCAAGTGGACGATGTTATGAATGGATAAAAATCCTATTTTACCTGAATGGCAAATTACCAGGACATTTGCTCCACCTCGGGAATGCAACAGCTCCTCTATTTGAATTGCATGCTCCAGGCAGAATATCCGCGGTTTGATAAATCCACGAGAAATGCTCCACCCCTTTGTAAAGGTGGCTTTTAAAGAAACTGGCAGATCCTTAGAAGGTGGAGATATAACAGAAGCAAGATGTACATCATCCGCAAAGCAAAGCATAGATTGGCTTGATTCAACATTTGGGTGGTCAAGTAAATTGCTCTCATTCGGTTTTGTCTTGGCAGTGGCATCTAAAGAGGAACTTTTAGCATCTATAGAGGACCTTTCACCATCTTTTGTCAACTTGAACTCTTTCCCAGACTTTGGGGCTTCAACCGTTGGCATATTCTTCTGGAATGCTGGAGACACTTTGCACTTTAAAGAATCTTGGTCGCTCAGTCCATCTGCAGAAAAAATAAAACAGAGATGTCACCGATTTGTACATACTGATAAATAACTACTTGCAACATGGTACTTTACATTTAGATTCCTGAGACCTTTTGCTGCTTTCAAGGTCTTAAAGAAAAACAAGGTGTTGAATCAGGAATTTCAAAAGAAAAAAAAAAATGTAGCCAAAGATTGAGTTAGGAATGCTTCACCATTGAAATGGTTCGACTGAGGTTATCGGTCTAAATTGAGCGGAAAGGCGAAAATGCTTTGTTGATTTGAGTAGATTAACATGACAAAATGCCTCCACAGATGAGGACAAAAAAGTAGGAAAAAATAAATAACAAGTAGTGGGAATAAATAAGGTAGGCAGCTTTATAACAGCAGCCACATACTCAGTAACTTTTTCCATAATACTTATTCGGTTAACTGGCAGAAGTAGAGTCATTAACAGGCATCCCAAGAGACCTGCACAATGAAGCCTATTAAGTGGAGTGAAAGCAAACTATAAAGGGATTTCAAATATTCTGCACTCCCTGTAATATTTTTCTCCAAAACACCCTACGAAAGGCACTGAACTACAAACATCCATCAGATTCAAGACTTGGCTTGAGATAATGTGAGAAATGATGAAAAATCCCAACTTTTTTGGATGTCACATCATAGTATGGTTAGAAGGCTTATGATCCAAATGAGGTAAATGACACAAACATATGGCAAAAAAAAGAAGGGGGGAAAGGAGGAGGAGGAGGGGGGGTGGGAGGGTGTTTGCGGGTGTTGGTTAAGTGATCTAGAAGAAAATATAACCAAAAAGAAAAACACTGTAAAAGCAAGTTTGTGGACCTTATACCTGAAGCAGAGCCCTCAACCATGCTATTAGGGTCTGAAGGGGAAAGAGACTCCACAGGCTCTGAAACTCCTACATCCTGAACCATATGATGATCTGCAGGCAGAAGATCCATTGATGCCATCTCCGATGGTTGTACAACAGACATAAATGGAAAACCAAGAACTCCACAAGCCACACATGCTAACGTCCCTGAATCAATTTGAAAATCACTTGACAAATCATCATCGTCATCATTCACATATAAATCGTTCACAGTTTCCATATACAAGCTCATCTGGCTAAACAGATCCTGGTTACTGTCATTTTCTGAAAAAACATTTTCTTTGGGTGTGGTATCAGCAGTAGGAATGCTGCCGGACAATTCGGAATCTTTACTTGGAGATGGTAGTGATTCAAGGTCCCATAATACTACATGGTAAGAGGAATTCTTCCCAAGAAGACAAGTTAACAAATTGTTTTCATTTAATATATCTTCTATAAATGCCTTCTTTACTAACAGCTCCCTTTCTTCCTTTTGGCGATCCCGCAGACGAGAACTTCGTACCCCTGGCAGTAAGGATCTTGGCACCCTGTCATGCAAACAATCCCATCATATCAAACTTCTTTTTTTTTTTTTGAAAGGCTCCAGCATATCAAACTTGAGATATGATTTACCACTGGATAGCACAAAATAAAAAAGAAACTGAACACCAAATGAAAATACTCTACGAAATACAAGGTCAGGTATCAGAAAACAATTAGAAAGCTTAATATGTAATCAAATATGTTTCTCAGTGTAAAGCCAAAATCATTCCAAACAAGATCCCAAGATTTTTTACAACTATAACATAATTAATCCCTGAAAATTTATGACTGAACAGCACATTTCAAAACCCGAGGTCTGTAAATATATATCTGACCGCTTAACTTCATAAGACACTGGATAGCATGCAAGTTAACCAACTCTAAAATTAGCAAGACTGAAAATTATCATTGTCAGTGATTCTTGGGCTTGAATATTGGGAATAAGTACTAAACAATTAGAAGAAAGTAACTATTCCGAACAAAATGCCAACCCAATTTCTCTGGGATCACAATACATTGCAACTTAATCCCTGAAATGGATATGCCAATTGCTGGAAATGGAAAATATATTAAACAATTGTGGACACAGAACTGGACTGTTGATACTCATGTTTACTGTCCTATCTATCTTTAACACAAAAGATTTTGCAGCTTATTAAGGATGCTGATTAGGGGTACGCGAACGTAGATATGAGCACGTAGTTGCATGTAATAACTATCAGAATTAGACTTATCAAAAAAATAACTCGCAGAATTAGAAACCATCAGATTACATTAGTCATAAATTGGTTAAATTTCTATAGTTGTTCCTTTTTTTTCCTTTTTCTTTTTTTTTTTTTAAATAAGAAATATTAATTGAATTTCGAAGGTCAATAATTTCCCAGAAGTAAAATTTAAAATATCAGTCACAAAGACTTCTAGGCTGGGATACTAAATAGCAGGTGCAGAATCTACCACCAGCAAGACCATTTGGAACAATAATGAACAATGTGACTGCTAATGATCCTTTTAAAGAATATGGTCTACAGGAACATATAGAATGTAAAGAAGGTATGTGCCCAATCACATAAAATAGTATTAAGAATTTCAAATTAGAGGCTCATACAACAAATCCACAGTATAACTAAGAAGGAAAAGTGTTGTTTTGGCTACATCTATATTCTGTTTATGGGCAGACCTAGAATCACAGAAACAGGATTATGTTCCAAACCAAAATAAATAAATAAATAAAATAATGCTTTCCATCATAAAGGAACACTTATTTGGAGGGACAGCAGTCCTGGGAAGATATCAATGGCAAAATTACCGTTAACTGGAACTGCGTGAGTGCATGTCCAAGGGATAAAAGAGACATTAGTATTCAATTGAATTGGAATGTAACATAGCAAAATGTGAAGGCCATATCCAAAACAAGAAAGCAGGGAGAATAGATTGTTTCCCATATCCTCCTACTGAAATACACATCTGGCAGATTATGTCAGATTTGCAAGAGAAAAGTGTTGTTCGGGAGCCCAAATTTGTCAGATTCCTTCAGCTTCAGGAGTTAGATACTATGGATGCCTTATCAGGCTTTCCTTGAGAAGTTCTATAGCTCGTCTACGTGTGGAGGAAGTTGGATGCTTCAAGTTGGACGTGGATTGACAATAGGTGAGTCCACTTCCAAATGAGATCTTTCTATATGGTGCTACCATGGACAGAGCTGCATTCCCCTAGAAAAGTGTGTGAAAAACTAAAGTGCCTCCAAAGGTGTCTTTTTTGTATGGACAGCAGCATTAAAAGTGGACAATTTGCGTCAAAGGGGAAAGGTGCACTCCAAAATTTTTTGCATATGCAATAGGGCGGAGGAAAACACCAACAATCTTACCCATTTGGATGACTAGGGACATATTGTCTATGTTGCTTTCTTTCTGAGGATGCATTAGTTTATGTAAAGTCACTTGGTTGCACGACAGGGAGTTGTGCAAGTAAAAGGGGCAGTCAAGTTCGGCAGATTACTCCCATGTCTTATGTTGTGCATTTGGAGCAAACAGAATAGGGGCACATTTGAAGATGTAAAGATGCCTGTTCACTCTTTGAAACAAGTGATGTTGAATATAGAAGGGATCCTGAGAGAGAGAATCAAGATCAAACTGGACATCTTCCAAAACGGATTCCAAGACTTCATGACAATGGCCTCCCCATATGAGCAGAAGGTGAGCAAAGGGCTTTCATTTCCCATCAACAGACAAGAGGCAAATGGTTAGTGATCAGTGTACTAGGAAATATCAAAATAGAAAGCGGTCAGTAAGATGACCAAGAATCTTGGCTGTCTGTTTGTGTAGACTTGTGGTTTGCTATTCTTGCACAGAGGGCGATGGCGATTACGGCAAAAGCCTTTTGACCAAACCACCACTAGGATAACCTACAATACCTAATCAAACTGGGGCATTTGTAGATTGGCACCAAACAAAAGTCAAGATATGCGGTTCAATCGCCACGCGCGGAGAAAGATTCCACCTATCCCGTGAAGGCTCCTAAATCAATAGTGTGATATTCTCACAAACCTCCCTTTCTGACATGTTTACCAAGCATCCCCTCCTCTACTATTAATCATCCTTGGCACTTCTCCAAGGGGTTCACCCTCACTCTATCTAGTCCAAAAAGAGACTGCTTCACCTTTGATTGAGCCTCCCCCCCATTCCTAGCTGACACATGTACTTTTTCTGGAGTTTCTTCTTAAAATAGTGGACGTTGAGGCTGTAGCTCCTACTCTCCATTCTATTAGTCAATGAGGATAGGGCGGCTAGTGTAACAAGATTCAGGGAGAAGGGAAAACTTCATGATGCAAGCACGGAATCCCCCAGATGGTCGAAGGGCTTCTTTCTCTTCAATAGGCTGAGCAAGTGGAAATTGTGTAAAAAGGGGTCTGTTTTGGATCTGATTCTGTTCAGAAAAGATCTTCATTTAAAAAGAGGAAGTCAGTTGCAAGCTGTAATTTCTTCGTCTTGCCAGCATATTTGCATTTGACCTCCTACGACACTTACCTTTAATCTATTATGTAGGTCAGCTGGATCAAGCGGGACTTGAGTGTTCCTCCTTTCCGTGTCAAAGGCTCAAGCAAGGAGTTCTTCTATTCCGCGCAAACTCTTGACTTTTTCTTTATTAGAGTAGAGTAGTCCATGTGCGGATTTGGCCAGATTCTCTTCTTCGGAAAACAAAACACTTCTCAGCTCCAGATAAGGCAGAAAAAGAGAAGAAAATGGCGTTGTGTCCATCAATCGCTTCCAGTGAATGCTGCTTCTATTTATTTATATCCGTTAATGAAAAAGCCCAATGCGCAAAATCAAATGCATGCGAGGCGTGGTGACGACATCCATGTACCACCTTTCTTGCGAGAAATGGGCTGGAAAAACCTGTTTAATAATACCGCAGAGTGTATTTATAGGGGAGAGCCAGGCCAGCAGAGTCGAAAACCTTTTTCGCCTTGACATGCTATTCTCCTCTGGCATGCATTTTTAGATGTATGGAGGATTACTGTATTCCACACACGCTTAGCTAATTTATTTTGTATGGAACAAGCTGAGTTTGGTGCTCCTATAAATCAGGTACTTTTGTTATACTACAATATATACACTTACCAAAAAGAAGCCATAACTCTCAATTTTGATTTTAGTCACTCAAAGGAATCATAATTACATACAGCTACCAATTCTGTTAAGCAAGTCACTTAAGCACTATTGAAGTCCAACTTCAAGGTTCCAAAGAGAAATATAAGAAAATAACATAAGCTTACCTTGAAACAAAAGACATGGTCAATAGGTATAGCAACTGCTGATGGGAAAGCATGGGAAGATAATTCATAGCAGCTCTGCGCACTGCAGCGTCCTTAGCTACGCTAAGCCACCTTGGTGTTCCAAAGTTAGCAGCTTCCCCACAATTAAAACCTAGATTGAAAAAATAAAAGCTATAGAAATTTAGTTAAAAATCCGCAAAGTTTAGAGAGGAAAATTAAGGACTCAAGTAGACTTCTCTGCATATTGGCACAGCAAAGATGAAACGCGTTATATATATAGATTGAAAGCAGAATTAAGAAAGCAGGTCAAGTAACAATTATTATTGACTGATGTGAATGAAAAAAACACACAGCATTTTAGAAGGAAATATAAAATTTTATAGTATAGCAGTAATTCATAGGAATGACCCTCACAGCTTCTGTTCCATTAATATATAAGTCAATTATGTTACAATTCTTTAGGATAACTATGATCCAATTTCTTACTTGCAGAAGAGCAAATATTTTTCTTAGAAAAATAGAGTACTATATTCAAATTGATAAATACTTCAGGCTGGTGGAACACTGCACAATTTTATGATAACAGTAACTAAGGGCAGGGCCCGTACCATTATAACAGAAATAACAATTTTGAAACCTTTCTAATAAATGCAATATTTGCAGTAGCTAGTTAAAGAACCACTAATAATCTCTGGAACTACACAAATTTTGAAAAGCTTTAGATAAAAAACTTATGCTTAAATTAGAGAGTAAAGCAGAAGCTATAACGAAACACAAACTTCATACTACCTCAATTGTCTTGTGGGCAGCCAACTTTTCTGTTCTTCCTAATAACGTATTATATATTGCAAAAGATACCTTTTCCTTTTCTTTTAATTTTCTTATGTGCACCAGCCTCTGAGACTATTGTGTTCACAAAATTTCCATACTTAGAAATTAAGCAGTAGATGCATGATAAGGACCCACAAAAGATATGGCACAAACTGTTATTAGCTTTATAGATTGTGCTATATTAAGAGTGTTTGATGAATCTTGCAGTAATTTTCTATTTTTAAAAGCATTTAGAGGTTGTAGAAATGATATGCAGGACTTAGAATGGCTTTGCAGGCACATGCTTGGAGCACACTTACAGGCACTTGATCGCATATTGCGAACAATGTAAACTACTTGTCCCAAAACTTGAAAAAGACAAACTTGATTGCCAATTTATTTAGGATATTTTAGAGTTGAACTATGCAATTTTCCAGATCATGTACTGGTTAAAAGAACGCTCAATTGTTATGAGATTCAATTATCCATTGTATAACAAAATAAGGATGCTTAAGAAACCATGCAATCAGGTAAAACTTTATATCTTGTAAATTCAGCCTTCAATGAACCTTTAATTCCTCTAGGAACCAAAGGCCAGGTGGCAAGCTATGGTAGTCAGCAATATACAAAAAATAAATAAATAAAATAATTATATTCGGCACCAAAGATAAAATACTCTTAAATGTGCAAACAAACTTTTAAAGGAATTACCGTGACTGAATCCTACATGGTACGCCCTGGGAAAAGTCACAACATATTCACCAGGGTTCTGTATCAACCTAAAGAACAAATCAGAATAGAAATTACTAATACTTCAGCCAAAAAAAAAATCCTTAATCTGATAATGGCATAATGCTAATAAGAATGAAGGAACCAAAGATGCACTGAACAAGAATCAACTCACCTACAACATGGAATGCCTGATGCAACAACAACTTCAGGTGATAGAAGAGTAGTCTTCTCGCCCAAAAGTGTAAGAGCAGCTGAAATTAGAAAAAACTGGACCTGGGTTATGAAATACTACAGAAGTAATAGCATCCAATTCACATTAATGTGAGGTGTCATCTAAAACATCCGATGTGATAAAATGGTGTGATTGTTTGAATGCCAAAACATCATAAATCAAGGATCTTGTTAATTGATAAATTTGTCAGATTTTAGGGGAGCAGAAAATTGATGGAAAAGTGAGATGAGAATTGTAAAGCATGGAAGTTATTACAATATTTGCATCAAAAAAAGCAATGGAGAGAAGAAAAATAAAACTATCAACCATCTAGAGACAAAAAATAGCAACTCAAAATGTTTTAGGCCCACCAACAGGAAACCCCATAATTTGATATTTTTTTCACCATCATCAAGTAACTTGCACAAATTTAGTTTTATCTTTTATAAACACAAGAGCAATTGATATTGACAGACCAACTTCCTAGTGATAGTAGTTGCCAATTATTGCATTGGTCATTAAAATCCCAATGGCAATTTTTTTTCCCTGAATGTGGTTAATTAATCCTAATGACTATTGATTTTAAATTGTGCATAATTTATACTATAGTTTCACAATAACTACTTAAGGTCACAAAAGCAGACCACATTGCTCAAAATGTCTTTTTCCAACAATAGGATTTTTAGACTTTCTGCGAGAGTTGTCATGCATAGCAAGGATCAAGTTTTATGCTCCTGCATAATACCTGTGTACATGGGAAGAAAGATTCACAATAACTTTTTAAGGTCATTATGAATATAGGTAAGTGCATAAAAGCACACCAAATTGCTCAAGGTCTTTTTCCAAGAATATAATTTTAAAAAGTAAAATCTTAGACAAAAATTTAAAAATTCTTTTGTAGACATACAGTGGTAAGAAAACACAAGCATGTCCCCCACCCACAAAAAATAATAATAAAAAAAATAAATAATATGAAGAAAATTAAGGATGCATTTAGCATACATACATATGTATATGCTTTTTTAGAAATGTACATTATGTATTGATATGGACATATACATATAAATAGATACACATATGTTTATGACTGCATAGGTCGTAATACGAGGGTTATCATATTCTATGACCTCAGTTTTACAATTTACCAGTCCTGTCTTAGACAGAGACAGACATATGTGAGCGCGCGTGCACACACATACAGAGTTTCTGAGGATGGAGTCATCATGAAAGAAGCCTTATTGGTTATACATTAAGAGACACGATATAAGAGAGAAAAAAAAAGAAGAGGAGGGGGGGGGGGGGGGGGGGGGGGGTGGGGGAGTGAACATGAAACACTTCATAATCAAGTAAAACAAGAGATATTGTCATTTCTGCAGCGGCTCACACTGACAGCTAACAGGACCCACCACAATTTGGCCACATATCCTTGTAATATTACACTGAAATGAAGTCTTAGCACATTTTTGCACGAAGCAGATAAGGGCACGAACATGCAGTAGTTTTGAAGTGACAATGTAACTGTAGGTACAGCAGTTCTATAGCAATTAAATTTAGGACTTCCTTACTTGAGTTTCATCCTCAGGCATCAAAGGACACTCTAAAATATCATAAAAAAGAAGATTTGTCTGTGACACATTTTCCTTCTTAGATTACGTTTAGTGCTTAAATTCTACATAAAATATTCAACATTAAGCATCTTACTTACCTAAGCGGTCAATAGTTCCTCCATAAGCCTGGGTACGAATGACTTCCTCAAAAGCGAATGCATAATCTCCTGGGACTGCATACCAAGCCTTCGGAGAGCCAGTGTGAAGGAAATTCATGCTGTGAAGCTCATGATCTTCAACATGCCAAGCAAACCAGCTGAACAACATACCAATATAGACCATGGGGGAAGTAACACCCGGGATATCATCCGGCATGAAACGCGTAAGTGAGCCAGGTGCACGTGCAATTACTTGTAAATTCCAAGGACTGTTTGTAAGCTTCCAACCTGCAGTACCTTCCATCTCATTACTAGCATTTGAAGTCTTTTGTCTAGAGCAACGTGATTTTTGATCTGAAGACATAGTTAGTGACGAAGTAGATGCCTTGGACATCTCTACCGAAGAATTAGGACCAGTCTTGGGGGATTCATCTTTATTTTCACCACTATTACTCATAATATCTACTTGATGTTTATTGCCATCAGAGCTTCCTCGACTGTATCGATCGAATGTCCTCCTCCTCCTACGTCTTTTAAAATACCGAAATAGTCCCTCTGGTTCTCCAAAACCAGAGCCAGGTACATCATTTGCATATTCCACATATATAGGCTTATCAGTAGATGCCCTCCAGAACAGTGCCTCTATAACAAATGGTGAAAGCTCCTTAACCATACCCAGTTGGCTCCGAGCAAAACTCTTCGATTTAGATTCAAACTGCTCCAAAGTATAAATTTCCCCACTTTGCCATACTTGCTTATGAACAGCAGACGGCTGCGGGTGACCTGACCCCTTGGTTCTTTTTGCAGCCTGCCCCAATTCTTGGTGTCTCGTAGTAAAGACTGCCTGAACCACTCCATCATTTCCTTTATCCTCATCATCCTTCTTCGACGAAGACCGAACATTTGACAGGTTTACATCTGAACCCAATTCTGGGGACTTAGAAAGCGACTTATTCAAGTTGGTAACAACATATTTTTTAGAAGGTTTGGGCAATGGTGGAATAACCTTACATATACCAAAAGCACTAGCTTCTTTCTCAATTTTCGATATATAAGCAATTGGGTCTGCGAATTCAGTGTCAGTTGGGCGAAACTCGGGTGCCAACGGCAACCCTTTGAGCCAATTGGGGATCTCCACCTCCCTCATTATAACCAAGATTCAGAACCATAAAACAACAGTACAAATTTACAGAACTACAATGCTCAATCATAGAACATCATTACTTAGAATTCACAACTAAGGCAAAGGAAATTTTATAAGTTAGTCAACCCTAGGTTAAATACTGTGATAAATTGACAACATGTTTGGTGAAATTAGAGAAATATAAGAAACGAAAGCATAAATTGATGAAGAAATACGAACAGTAGAACCTGTAACTTCAATTGACTGTAGGTTTTGCCTCCAAAAGCACCAAAATGAAAGAGAGAGAATATAGAAGAAAGAGCTCAAATCAGAGGGTGTGTTTAGGTTTTGAGGGACATTCTAACATGCGCAACATATGATATTAAAAAAGAAATTATTAAAATACGCCGAGGCGACATAGCGCACAGTTGAAGCCACTGTTCCGGGACCGTACGATTGTGGTTAGGTAATCACCGTGAACCCAAGCTATGAATGACTCTGTTGTGTTCCAATCGCGCATGTTAGCCTCCAGTGGCTCATCAAGTAGAAAGGGACGTCTAACGTGTATCGTAGCCATACGGAAATATAGGCATCTACGGCTCGGTGCACATAATCCAACGGATTTGAATTTCTCCCTTAATTTTCTCCAAATAATTTTAAGTCGTTGTCATCTTCACCTCATCACTTCTGTTATTAAAAAATGTTACAGTACTTTATTACAATTATTACAATTTAATTATGTTTATTAAAGTAATGACGTAATATATTCATAAAGTTTAATAATACCCTATTGGCGTATTTGTCAAAATAAAATAATAAAAGTCATTAATAATTTGAAAAGTGTCGTGAAAGTCTATAATATCCGGAGTTACATATCTTCAAAAATTTTAATAGTTAAATATAGTGGTATAACTCACCTGATAAATAATCTATTAATGAATTTTAAACTTTCTTAATTAATAAGTATGAGTATTATTTTTATTACGTTAAATAAAAAATGCAACAAAAATTTGAAGATATTTATATTCTTATTTTATATCCATTCATTTTAAATTCCCAGTAGTTTGCGACATATTACAGCGTCAATAGTGAAATCCCCTCGCTTCATATTAGTTTAGATGTTTGCATTGTTTTTAATATAATAACCATTAAAAGGAAAGAAAAAACAAAAAATTGTAAAATCAAAAGGTCTCGGGTGCAATGATATTTTTAAAGGTGTAGTTGAGAGTTTGAGTTTTATTAAAGAGTAGAGTATGGTGGAAATATATATATTTATATATATATAATTAGAATATCTTAATGCCATTTGAAAAAAATAATTACAAAGAAAGTAAATTTATAGCCAAATTAAAAATAAATAAATAAAAACATGTGTAATTATGCTATATCTCAATGCGGTGAGTATATTTTATTCTTATTTTGAAAGTAAATTTATAGCCAAATTAAGACCAAGAGTCGTACTATTTAATCCAAGAACATAAAGACCGCCTTAAGAAAAGAAAAAAAAGCAAAAAAGAAAAGAAATAAAATTCATATTATTATTATTACTGTATTTTCTTCGTAAATACTACTACATATGCATAGAAAAAGAGAAGAATTTACATGGGCGTACCCATTACCCAGAAGCATTATGGGCCACAAGCCCATATACCCTAACAAATCATTAACCGAAAAATAAAAAGCAAGCCAAAATGTTAAAAATGTTGGCCCAACGTGGATACCAGAAAATTCTCAAAACCCAATGCATGGGCGGTAATTCATCAACAGGTTCATAGAAATGTCTCTGCAATGGGTGATGGTTTGGCTATGGCTATGGTGGTTGCAGTTGGGATGCCAACGATGATTGTTGGAGTGAGAAGAAGGGGTCGTGTGGGACGGTTCAGAGAAAGATCGAGCTGGGCAAATTCCAATCCTTTGCAAGCTCCTCAACATAAGAGCATGAACATTTCTTGATCGAGAACAACTTGTATCGATCTTACCAAGTTGATAATTTTTTTTTATCGAAAATTTTATCAAGTTGATAATTGCATTGATTGTCTTTGATGAAGCCGGACTCTAGTTGTGAAATAGTACGTTTTTACGTCCATTTTTTCGAAATATGATTGACAAAACTAGCCAGCAAAATATTATGTTATTACCGTTCTCTCAAAAATGAAAAACAAACCTTGCCAGCATTAGTTTCCAATTAAGAATTTTGCAAAACTTTATTATTTTTGGATAATACTTAGCTACTCACCGGTGAGTAGGATGAAGCTACTCACCTCTTATGTGGTCCAATAACAAAATAGCACATCATATTTAATAACAAAATAATTCACACTTAAAAACACTATATACATTTATTCCATGATTGATTCGAGAAAAAAGAGAAATGTGTAAATTATTTTAATATTAAATGTGATATGCTATTTTGTTATTGGACCACATAAGGGTGAGTAGCTTCACCCTACTCACCGGTGAGTAGTTAATTATTGTCCTTTTTTTGTTTGTTACTAATTTGATCGGGAAAGCTCAAATTAAAAACTCTTACTTAGACTAATCAATTTAGTTAGGCTTTTCGTCTCTACATACTACTTAGTACTTGTCGTTCCTGCCCAAAAAATAATAATAATAATAATCATTCGTGTGGCTAACAAGGTCGTACATCTAATTTGTTAAAAAATAAGTTGTAATTAATGTGTCTTTCCTACTATTTTGGAATTTTAAAACTTCAATTTTAAGATCAAATTACCCTTTTAAATTATTTCTTGTTTCTTTATACCTAATAAACTTCCTTATTTCCTTTGTTACATATATTTAACTTTATTTTTTTTCTTTATTTTTAACCATTTTTTTTTTTTTTTTTTCTGATTGGATATATATGGCTATATTTCATTATTTACTTTTTTTCTTTTTTTTTTTGGTTCACTTGTCTTATATTCCACCTTGATGGATTTTTTTATTGGATTTTATGTAATTTAATTGAAATAACCGTATGAGATTGAGTTTTAATTGAAGTAATATTATAAAATTTGAGTTTTAGTTGATGTATGAAATAAGAGAAGTATGGTTTCTAATCTATTCACAATATGGTTATCTACTATATATATATATATATATATATATATATATATATAAAATGAGAGAATTGAAAAAAAAAAAAAAAAAAAAAAAGAAAAGAAAGAAGCAATCAATTCACATAAAAAATTTTTATCTCTCTTTATCTAAAGGAAACAGTGAAAAACCATTCACACAGTGAGCATATATATATATATATATATATAACCTTTATTCTTCTTGACTTACCTACCTTATTCTTTTCTTTCTCTCTTTTTTTTCAATTGTTTTTAACTATACACACACACACACACACACACGTACAAGTAGGATAGAAAAGCGCACACACACACACACATACAAGTAGGATAGAAAAGAAAAAAGAAATATAAAAGGATAATTTGGTCTTAAAAGTTGAAGTTTTATAATTTCAAAAAAATAGAAAATAAGCATTAATTATAATTTCTATAATTGAGTTTTTCAACCAATTATATGTGCGACTGTATTTAACACTCCTCATAAAAAATTCTACAGTTGGCAGCGGCAGTAATTAATTTAGTTTCATAACAGTTGGAATTCAGATGATTATTAGAGGGACTAACTTGGTTTCATAATATGTGATCAGTAGTAATTCTATAATTTAATAGTTAATAACTTTTTAAACAATATCATCGATCTTATATAATATTATTTATGACTAGCTTGAAATGCATTTATACATATATAAATGCAAGCAGACGTTAAAAAGAAAAATAGTAATAATCTCAAATTGTCATACTTTTCCTAGTAAAATTTCAATCAATCTACGTACTAGCAATTCCGGACTTAACCACCAGCATTTGGAATTTGCCTGTTGGTATGATTAGGAAACATAAGAAGTGTTTTTATTAATGAAGTGGTAGGAATATTGTTGAAATATTTATCTTTTTTTTTTTCTCTTCTTTTATGAAGGAAGTCTCTTCAGGGTCACTAAAGGCTTGTCTAGTCGTTAATTTAGAACTTTGTGGGATTAGTCGAAGTGTGCACAAGCTGATCTAGACACGCACAATTGTCAAAAAAATAAAAATAAAAATAAAAGTCAAACTAGTCCGGTAATTAATAGCTCTACTAATTTTATGGATTTTCTCATGATTAAATTATTAACTCTATAAAAAAAACACAGAGCGATTGGCGTACAATCTATGTTCAACCTCTCTGAATCTTTTACCAACTTTTGTTGATGGCGGTTGGATGGATAGACATATAGCAAGAGCTTTAGAAATACTTAATTAATTTTACTTTGTCACGGTTATGAAGAAAAAGTATTTAATTAATTTTACTTCATCTTGGTTGGAAGAAGAAGACTGCCACCCAACTCCATTGCTGGATTTTTTTTGGCTGTCCTTTGTTGAACCGTGGGAGCGAAGGAAAGAATTTTATTTAAATTTTTATTTATTTTTTTCAAATGGCATACGTGCAATTTTCTTAATTATTTTGACACTCTTACAATAGATGGGAATAATTTTTTATATAAAAATTGGGTTAAATACTCTGACACTTTCTCAAGTTTGCCTTTATTGTTCACATATTAAACTAGTGGGAAAAAAAGCATAAACCTTCTCTCTAGTTTAGTTAACTCTGCCCTGACACTCCTTTTGTTAATTGACCGTTAAAAAAGTCAAATGTCAATTAATTAAAAAAATATAATGTCAAAACTATCATTAACTAGTGAAGATGAGATGTATAAGGCCTTAAATGAGTTTGAGACCAACTAGGCCATGACGTGGACCTTGACTTTTTTTATTTCATTTTCTATTGAGTTGAATATTTAATTAAGGCATGTATTAAACATACTGTGAAATTTTATTTATTTATTTTCCTTAGAGCACGTGTATCGGCCTCATAACACATGCATCATTCAAGTCAGGAGTGCGGTTCAAAAACGAAACCTTAAAGATTAACCTTCTGGATCTAGGATCCCTACCAACGTTGCTATGCCCCTGAGGGCAAACATATTGTAAAGTTATATTAACATATTGTTAGATGTTTAATGAGATATATGATTAGTAAAACTAATTATTTGCTTCATGCTTACTAATGTTTTAGTGTTAATAACGCAGAGGGAAAAAAAGAAGAAAAAATAAATAGAGAAAAAAGATAATATCTTATTATGAATATTATATAAAATATATTAAGTAATCGTCTATTTATATTGCTGGCTTAATAAGCTAAATTGTGTATCATGACTCAAAATCAATTTCATAATAATTTTATTGGATTGATTTATATATATATATATATATATATATATATATATATATATATATATATATATAATATTAATCAATTTCATAATAATTTCATTGGATTGATTTAAAGAAGAAATCAGGAACAAAATCAGATTGGGAACACTAGATATTGTTTTTCGAATTTTCCATGAGATGCCCAATTAAGGATGTATTCCAGATTCTTAATAAT